TTTTATTATTTTTTATTGATTTGATTGTCATCATCTGCGTGTACTAATTAATTTTAACGGTTAGGTTAAATATAAAGTGTTCTTGTTTTGGCAGTGTTGTACTCGAAGTACGGCTCAGTACTTTAGTGGTCAGTGAGCTGATTCATTTATTTATGACGTTCGAGTATGCTATAGCATAAATCTCCTCTTCAGTTTCCGCTTGTATCATACTTAGGCGAAGCACGTTTGTGCGATGTCGGTAACGAGAAGTCAAATATGGATTAGGTTGGATGAGTTTCTTTCAAATAATCATTCATACAGACAGATGTGAGAATACATAGCTTGAAAACAAAGCACAGCGAAGCGAAGTGAAGAAAGAGAGCAAGCCGACTCCCAGCAATAAAGCATTTACTCAATATTTTTACATTATGTGGTTGTGAAGATTGTTAAGTTCTTTTTTTTCTGAAACCATGAATCGATCAATGGTAGATCACCATTAGAAACCTGGAAGCATTGGACGACCGTTTCGTCCTTGTATGGGACTCCTCAACAGTGCGCATTCACAACCCCCTAATGCAAATTACCTGTGCTCACTAGTGACTAGCTTCGTGAGGAATCTTCTCCGAGTTCTAGTGGGAAGTCGTGACCACTGAAGTTCAACCTGTTCGGGTGTAGACAGTAACTACCGGACACAGTGTATGAGGTTTCGCAAGACCGTCTATTGATCGGAGTTAGACATTAACACCATTGGATACTGGCTCAGTGGTCCAGATGTTAGGCGTTCGGGCGCAAGACCGAAGGTCCTGGATTCAAATCCTGCGAGGTCCAGCATTCGTGGATGCGCACAGCTAGTGATGAGTCCCATACGAAGACGAAGCGGCCGTCCAGTGCTTCCAGGTTTCTAATGTTGGTCTAACATTGATCAGCACTTTTAGTCAGACAAAATAGTCTAGACATTTAATAAGCGGATTAAGCGGTGCACACACATACTCAAGTCGAAACAATCAAAATAAAAGCGAATAGCTGACAATGTCAAAAGACGGCGGGGATACCAACTAACTCGGACAGAATGAATGAGTTCATTTATCCAAAAGTTAAGAACAAGCACCATCTGGGCTCAACATTAAGTGTACACGTACTACACTCATCTTGTTTTGTTGTGTGGATTCATTGCAATAAAACACATTTCTAAAATAAAACTATTAATATTATTATTATAACTGATGTACATTTAAACCATTTACAGCTAATGATAAAGTTAACTCATTTTATTCTGCAAATCCTGCTATTCTCTTTCAATTTTTATATTAAATAATCAAACACTGTTTATTGATTACATTTGCGCAGAAATGTTTAAAGATATATTTTTTAAATTCCTAATCTGTTAATCGAAATGCATTACACTATAATTTAAAAAAAAATTGAACAAAATTAGTACCTTACAGAAATAGATTATTTGTAGATAACTTATATAAGCGAACAATATTGTTTTCGATTAGATCGTCACCAGGTTTAACTCTAATATATTGGGGCACAGTTTTGGAGGTTTGCGTTTTTACACATTTGAAATCACCAATCAGTCATCATTGTTAGACCACCATTAGAAACCTGGAAGCACTGGACAGCCGTTTCGTCCTAGTATGGGACTCCCCAGCAGTGCGCATCCACGACTCCTGCTCCTCGCAGGATTCGAACCCCGGACCTTTGGCATTGTAGGCGAACGCCTTACCATCGGACCAGTAGGCCGGCATTCAGTGGTGTTAATGTCTAACTCTGATTGATCTAGGGATTTTAATATGAATATTTATATCAAAATGTTAAACCAGTCAAGGCAATTTGAGTCAATAATCTCAATGAAATGAAAAAGGTTACATCACTACATATAATAGGCAAAAGTTCAAGTGGATAGTAGGAAGACAGATGTACTGATAGTAGTAAGAAAATTATAAAATATGATAACTAAAGTTTTATCAATAGTAGGTCAAACGTGGATGAATAGACTTCAAATAATCATTAAAAAAAACATCAAAACCATTACGTAATAAGCAAATATGTAAAAATAAAAAATAAAATGTCAATCGTTAGTTACGTCATATTCGGCCACGGAAGAGATAGGGGTGTCACGAATTTCTTCTCAACACATAAATTGGTGTTGAATGTACGAATTCCTATGGCTTCTGCTATGTGTGTAGGAGACGAGATCGAACTCCGTTGGGAAATGATTGAGGTATACGAGATAGATCACCCGAAAAGATCTAGACTTATCTACAATATGACCACCATCAACCGGGTGTGCCAAGATCGAACTACGTATTGTTTTTAACTGACCTTTCATAAACCATGACAGGAGATGTTCACTCATTCGTTGGTTAAGTTGCCTGGTAGTACGCCCGATATAGCTAGCTATCTCCACAGGAGCAGCTGAATTTGTAAATGCATATAGAGGAGGCCAACTCAGATAACTTCTCCTTCGTTTGGGTAGACATCACTGGTAGACTTGAGAAGGTCAACGCAAGTTTGGCTACATTGAATGCTCTATAAATTGCTCTCATTAATCTGTCCTGCAGAGTATATAAATATTCATGTATATATTAGAGAGTAAAGCAGCCTGATGACGATCTAATCGAAAACAATATTGTTCGCTTTAAATGTGTTGTTCTAATTTTCACAATGGGAATCTTTAATACTATTTGTAGATAGATGATAATATATACTACATAAAGATTTCTTTGTTCATAACAAAACAACTAACTTTTATATGAAATTAACAATTAAAACATAATGTAATATATTTACTTACTTATGTACACCTGTTTACCTCCACTGGTGGTGCATAGGGCATAGAAAAACGTTCTCTAACCTAATCTGTCCTGGGCCTTCGTTTCTAATACTGTCCAATTGTTGTTGTAGATTCTTCTCATATCTGTCTCCATTGCTTGGTATAATGTGTTTCTCGGTCTTCTTCTTTTCTATGGGCTTTCAGGATTCCAAGTGAGAGCTTGTCTTGTGACGTCTTGTATGTTGTGTCCTATCCACTTTCAGCGCTTCTTGCTGATTTATTCCTCAGCCGGTAGAATGTAGTTAGTTCTCTTCCAAAGTAGGTTGTTTCTGATTGTATCTGGCCAACGGAACTATAATACATGTATACAAAGTCAGTTATACTTAGACAGTAAAGTGGCCGGATACCATCGCCCGTTGTGACTTGTTAAACACATATTATTGATAAAAATTATCTGATTTCATTAAAAATCCTCATTTTCTTTCTTTCATAAACACTTATACATCTGTTATATCAACATACTTTACAGCATAACTACCTCATACACACTACAATAAATCTCACCTTCTTCTACTTTGTGTTAGTATGAATGGGTAATTTGTTGAATCGGTGAAGTTTTTGAATTTTAGATTCGATCATTCTAATGTTGGATGATATTTCATGAAAAATGCTTGAAGATTTTCAAGTGAAATGCTAGGATTCAAGTAAAGTTTAATTGTTGAAGCGTTTTCCCAAACATAATTTGCGTGTTTCATATTTAATCAATGGATTGCATATTATTTTCAAAAAGACAGAATGACAATTTACTCTATTTGCATTACGGGGTTGTGAAGGTTGTTAAGTTACACATTTTTTTAAACCATGAATCGATGCACACTGCTGAGGAGTCCCATACCAGGACGAAACGGCCACTGTCCAGTGCTTCCGGGTTTCTAATGGTGGTCTAACATTGATCGATTCATGGTTTCAAAAATGTGTAATTTAACAACCTTCACAACCCCGTAATGCAAATTATCTGTGCTCACTAGTGACTAGCTTCGTGAGGAATCTTCTTCGAGTTCTATTGGGGAGACGTGACCAGTGGAGATTTACTCCATTGTCGTTTACTATTTTAACAGCGTACTTCGAAATTGGTCAAAACAAAGCAGGAATGATTAGTTTCACTTCAAAAATGACAATATGACACATAGTTTGTACGAAATCTGTACAATTTAATGACCCAATGAACAAAAACATGACCTTTATTCGACTGACGACTATCCTTTTTGATGACGTAACACCATGAGTTGTATGCCCCATTATCATTCCTTACTTAATTTTGTATTTTCATGTTTTATAGTTTTCCGATTGATGTTCATTCACAAATCATGATCGTAAAAATGTGTTGATATCATTTTAAACAATTTTGTACATTTTTTGTACATTTCCCCGTATTTTTGAACTCAAGTTAGATATCCATTAGACGAGCTGGAAGCACTGAAAGACGGCTGTTTTATCCTGATACGAGACTCATCAGTGCAGTGCAGTGCGCAGGACTCGAACCCAGCCCTTCGGTCTAGCGCGCGAACGCTCAACCTCTGGATCACATGACAGTGTTAATGTCTGAAACTGTTCAATCTAAGTATTTTGAGCAACCTCACTCATTGTCTCGGTGAGCTCTGCTTCACACTTGGACAGGGTTGAGCTCCAGTGATCACGACTTCTCACAAGAACTCAAATAAACTTCTTCAAGTAGCTAATCACTGATGAGCACATGTAATTTTCATCATGGGGTTGTGATGATTGTTGAGTTAATTTTTGAAATCATTAATCGATCAATGTTGGAAACATTAAAAGATGGCTGTTTTGTCCTGGTATTGGACCAGCAGTGGTTAACATTCTGTTCGGGTGTGAAGTAATGCTCATCAATGACAGGTTCTGCAAAATCCCAAGATTGGTCAAAGTTAGACATTGACACCATCATATGCCGACCGAGTGGTCCGGAGGTTAGGTGATCGCACGCAAGACCAAAGGTACTTAGTTCAAATTCTACGACTAACAGGAATTGTAGATGCGCAATGCCACTGATGATTAGACCCATATCAGCACAAGACAGCCGTCTCTCAATGCTTCCAAGTGGTCTAATCGCAGTTTAACATTAATCAACTCAACTCAACCATTCTCACCATAACTCATTCTAAATAAACAAAATACAATTAATTATATATCGAATAGAATAGAAAAAAAATTTTTTTTGTAAATATATCTAAGGAAAATTATTTATTATTTTTCACAAATTAAACTCTAACAAATAATTTTTTTTAAAAAAAATTTCAGATTTTTGAAATCATCAAAACGTTTTGTAAACAAAAATAAATAGAGGGTAGGAAGATGGAACGAAGAGGAATCACTTTTATAGTTTGTTTGATCACAGGTTGGTTAGATTTGTATCTATCTATTTATGTGCTTTGATTTTGTTGAATATTGTCGTTGAAAGTATATGCAGAGAGTGTCAGTGAAGAATACATTGAAGCAGACATATATATATGCATATCTATGTATATATCTGTAATTATTCATTGAGTGTTATAGTCGCAGGTTAGGTTCGTTTTTACACACAAGCGTACACACACACACACGTACACACAATTTAAAACTCATAGTACAATTTTGGAAATGTATTCATTGATGAAGAACAATCATAGAAAAATATTTGATGAAATATGCTCATTTATATGTATATGCATGTATATTTATGTATATTTATATGTGTACTTAGATGTATTGTGATTCATTTGTTTTCATTTTAAAAACACCAACATTTCCAATAACTATTCTCTTTTTCTAATTCAATATTATTACCATTCTTATCTGTTTGTTTGTTCGTTTGATTTGGTTGTTTAATTAGTGAGTTGGTTGGTTGTTTGTTGATAAAATGCATTGCCATTTCAAAAGCAATTACGTTAAAAATCAGTTAATGTTGATTTTGCATTGAGAATTTGATTGATCGATCGATCGGCAACACAAAATGTTATATTCAAAACAATATACAATGATGAGTTAAGTGATGAAAATAGCCAGCGGGGGTAGGTGTAATTCGTGCACACACAAAAATTACAGAAATGACACATTGAAATCATCAATCAATCATGAGTGTAGGAGTCATGGATGCGCACGGCCACTGATCATGAGTCCCATATACCAGGACGAAACGGTCGTCTCCCAGTGTTTCCAGGTTTTTAATGGTGGTCTAACAGTGATTGGTTTTATGATTTGAATATAAGAAATTATTAACGCTCTAATGATATTTTGTCCTTGTAAGATTTTCATCATTTAGATTAGACAAAGTTAAGAAGAACAAAGAAGAAGAAGGAGAATTGTCTACTTCGGTTTATTTTAATCGAAGTTAGAAATAAATTTCTTTAAAAAAGGTGACTTTTAGAATCAGTGATGAGTAGTTTATGAAAAAAAATAATTCCACCAGTGGTAGTGACTAATATTGACACTATACTAAAAACTTATTAAAGTTGATAATAATAATATTTACCAACCGAGATAAAGTCTGGCTGTTTGACCATCCCGTGTCTGTGCGCTACCATTCACTAGACTTCAACAGATTAGGATGATGTACGTTTTTCATATTGCCCAGATGGTTTATATAAGTTTACCACTGGCTAAATGCTAACTGGCATACCAAATCCTTAGGTTCAAACTGAAAATAAACATTTACTAATCATTTATTGAACTCCGCCTGGAGCCTTTCTGGGACTAATACCGGTTCCATGCCAGGATAAGAAAGGAGAAGTGTCAGGCTTGGTATTAGTGACCCCCCAAAAAAATGCTAACCGGAAAAAACAATTCAATCATTCCATTCTCCTATCTTACAATTAGTTCTAGTGACTGTTTGTATCGTTTCACGTTTTCATTTGACTGAAAAAACCATCAGTACATTCAACCAACATATGCTTTTCATTACGTAGTTGTAAAGATTGTTAAGTTAAACATGAATCGATGGAAGTCAGACCACCTGGGGGCACTGAAAGACGGCCGTTTCATGCTGGTATATGGGACTCACCACCAGCACTGCACATCCACCACACCCGCATCTCGCAGGATTCGTTGAACCTCAGGACCTTCGCGATCTTGCACGCAAAAACGCCTAGCCGGTACCCAACGCTGTTAATGTCTAACTTCGATCGATTCAAATAAATCTATCATTATATTAATGATATACATACACAGAGTATTACCAGCATGAATGAATAGCAAAATCTTTATTTGTTTTTTTTTCTGCTTTGAAATCAATAAGTTACAGTTTAGTATTGCATAATTTGAATTCACACAGTTATATTTTAAGTACACAAGAGAATGAATGAAAGAAATAGACGAAGAAGTAAGTGTACACCCAGGAACTAAGTATTGTATTAGTGTATGTGATTCATTGATTTTTTGGATTTTAGCTATTGACTTATGCATATCAATATCTATCTATCTGTATATGTACATATACATATATCTGTCAACAAACACATTCCAATTAAGATTACTTGACTCGTAAACACACATACACACACCTACACACCGACACACAAACGGACTCATAGACACAGAGAGAGAGAGTCAAGTTTTCGTTCGATAATACAGTAATTAGTGTAGTGATAACAATGATGATGATGATGATGATGATGATGAAGATCATTTTGACCGAGTTCCGATCGATCAATAAATCGAATTTGCATGATTTATTGATTTGGTTTTGTCATCATTCAAATGACATGATTGATCAGTGTGTGTGTGTGACAAGATCTAGTGAACTATATATATATATATATAATGTTGAGAAATGTATTTTTGTAGAAAATTTCGATGTCATTTTCTCAATGAATGATTGCAGTGGTTTGAAAATCAAAAAGTACAACGATAATTGAGATTTTCATATAAATTTTATGCTGGTTGCTTTCTCAGTAACATGATATAGTAACGAAAAACGAGAATTCCAGATATTACTTGAAGAATTAAATCAAAGTAAGTTATTCTAAAATAATTTTCCGAATGAAGATCGTTGTCAGTCAAGGCTGTGTTACTGCCGCGCTTAATCCTTTTTTTCTGGTGATGAAGACGTCAATAATTAAGTGGAAGCATTATCCAGAAGATACAAGTATTTATGAACAGTTGTCTTCGCAAAATACTTTGGATTCGTTGGCCAGACACCATCAGCAACAACTTACTTTAAGAGAGAAAAAACCAGATTCCAGTGGAGGAGGAAATCAGGAAGAAGTGGTGGCAGTAGATAGGACACACATGTCGGATATCACCAAACTGCATCACAAGACAAGCCCTCACATGGAACCCTCAAGGCAAAAGGAAAAGAGCAAGGCCAAGGAACACATTACGCCGAGAAATAGAGAAAGATATGAGAAGAATGAACAGAAACTGGACAGAATTGTAAAGGGAAGCCCAGGACATAGTTGGTTGGAGAAAACTGGTAGGTGGCCTATACTCCATTGGGGTTAACAGGCGCAAGTAAGTAAGTAGGTATGGGATTCAATGGACGTCTCAGATACAGCTAGGCGATTTGGACTTCTATCTAACTCAGAACAACGAATGTTGATGAAGACAGCCAGTGTAGCAGCAGCCTCTGAAGTAGTAGGTCTCAACATACACGAAGGATAAAGCAACATCCTTAGCCGACACAATACAACATGTACCAGTTAAATCACACTTGATGGAAAAGCTTTGGAAGATTTAAAAAGCTTTACATATCTAGGCAGTATCGTTGATATTAAACTTGAATCTGATATATATATGAAGACATCGATTGACAAAACAAGGGCGACATTTCAACAATTGACGAACATCTGCAACTCAACACAACTATCAGCCAACATCAAGGTCACAACTTTCAATACAAATGTAAAGAAAGTTCTTCTGTGTAGAGCGGAGACTGGGATAACTGTGAAAAAAAGCCCTCATTCATAAGATACAGACGTTTATTAAAAGTTGTCTACACAAAACATTTCAGCTGAGGAATAAATTACGAAATGGAACATGAGGTGGATCAAACAAATCTTTTGCCAGTCGCTCAACTACATCACGAGGTAAGCACTAACTCGTACTGCTAAAAACCAAATAAAAAGAGGTAGACCAAGGAAGACAAAATACTAAGGATTGGAGATAAATATGAAAAGAATGAATAACAATTGGAATTAAACTGTAAAGAAGACTGTAGCAATTTGGTCAGTACACGATCGATCCTTACGAAATCCGGCCTGTTAATCTCGAAGTTGGACATCTACGAAGTCCTTCATTCTGTTTAACAATACCCTGTTGAAGACTTTGCCTGGTATTGAAAGAAGAGTGATGCCTCTGTAGTTCTCACACTTGCTGAGATCGCCTTTCTTTGTTATTTTGATCAGGTATCCTTCTTTTCAATCTGATGGTACTTGTTCCTCATCCCAAATCATCTTGAAGAGGATGTGAAATATTTTCGCAGTTGCTTCTACATCTGCTTTCATTGCCTCTGCTGGAATGTTGTCTGGTCCTGCTGCTTTGCCGCTCAATTTAGATTTTTAGTACTGAAACAAAACTTTTGACAGGTGAATATAGATTCCATTCAAGACAATAATTTAAAACAGGATGGTTTTTTTATTTGATTGATATAAAGGTTATTGGTTGGTCAGCCATTTAAGAAATCAATCAATATGAAATGAAATAATTCACTGTTTGTTTAAAATACTCTTAAATTAAAATGATGTAACGATAAAAAACTGATTTAATTCCGAAGTACAGGATATGATTTGAATGATTTCTTTTCAAATCAAATCGACTAGATTATCAAGACGTCAACATCTGGAGGAAAGCACGGTATACAATGGACAGCCAGAATGTAGATGGACGATCTACACTTCGCAGATGATCTGGCTCTTCTATCGTACACACAAGAACAAAGGCAAGAGAAGACGATTAGTGTAGGAGCAGCCTCTGCAGCAGTAGAAGGTGTCATCATAAACAAAGGGTAAAGCAAGATTTTCCAATACAATACAACATGCGTCAACCAAATCATTATTGATGTAGATGCAGCATCATCGACTTGCAAGGTGGATCTGATGATGATATGAGGGCGCGGATCAACAAAGCAAGGATAACATTTCTACAATTTATGAACAGTTGAAACTCAAGACAACTATCAACAAACACCAAAATCAGAGTTTTCAACACACATTTCGATACAGTTCTACTGTATAGAGAGGAAAGTTGGAGAAGTACGAAAGCCATTATCCAGAAGATACAAGTGTTCATAACAGTTGTCTATGCAAAATACCTCGAATCCGTCGACCAGAAACCATTAGTAACTCCCTAATGTGGAAAGAAACAAACCATATGCCAATGGAGAAAGAAATCAAGAACAAGCGCTGGAAGCTGATACGACACATATTGAGTAAAGCTCTTTACTGCCTATTAAGACTAGCCTTTAGTTGGAACCCTAAAGGTTAAAGGAGAAGATGAAGGCCGAGGAAAACATTACGCCGAATAATAAAGAAACATATGAAAATAATGGAAAAAATTGGGTAGAACTGGGAAGTAAAACCCAGGACAGAGTAGGTTGAAGAATACTGGTCAATGGTCTATGCTTCATTGGGAGTAACAGGCGTAAGTAAGTAAGTAATTAAAGCATATGATTCCGTGTACAAGATTGTGTGGTAATCTTTCCACTGTGCGTACTCCATTCAGTCTTGAGTTCTTCATTAACTACACTCTACCACAGATTAGATGACTTCATGAAAGAATGAATTCTCTAGTGTTAGCACAGATAAACATGTCATAGTGTTAATCAAGAAACATTAGATGAATTCTACCTGGACTCAATATTTTGGTAAAAACTTTTATAAGAAGTTTTGACAGATTATTCTTAAAAAAATTTTAACCATGATACTCTTTAAGTCACAATATATGAAAATTAAGCATGATTGATTTTGATGACAGGACTGTTCAATTTGCATCAAAGTGGTTATTTTTCTATTGAGTTCAGCATTTATCCATTATGTAAGCATAGTTATGTAACTCACTAACTAAATAACTAACTTACTAACTTACACATTTTTTGAAACCATGAATCGATCAATGTTAGACCACCATTAGAAACCTGGAAGTACTGGACCGCCGTTTTGTCCTAGTGTGGGACTCCGCAGCAGAGTGCATCCACGACTCCTGCACCCTGCAGGATTCGAACTCAGGACCTTCGGTATTGTGCGCGAACGCCTAACCATCGGACCACTGAGCCGGTATCTAACGGTGTTAATGTCTAACTTGATCAAATTCACGGAGACGCGCAACCTCATACACAGTATTCGATAGTTACTGTCTACACCCGAACAAGTTGAAGTTCACTGGTTACGACTTCCTACTAGAATTCGGAGAAGATTCCTCACGGAGCTGGTCACTAGTGGGCACAGGTTATTTGCATTACGGGGTTGTGAAGATTGTTAAGTTACACATTTTTTTAAACCATGAAGCGATGTGCACTGCTGAGGAGTCCCATACTAGGACGAAACGGCCATTGTCCAGTTCTTCCAGGTTTCTAATGGTGGTCTAACATTGATCGATTCATGGTTTCAAAAAATGTGTAACTTAACAATCTTCACAACCGCGTAATGCAAACTAACTAACTAACAGAGAGAGGCTGCAACATTATTATGCATAATACCGAAAAAGGATACAATCATTTTCATTGACATTATTTATACTTTTCACAATTTCTTCTACAACTTCATCGAATAACTAAAAAAACAAAAAGAAAGAATTATTGAACATTGAATTTATCGATGAACAAATTAGAAAGTTTTGTTTTAAATTTAATTGTACCGCGCATAATAAAAATAGAAGCAAAACAAAACAAAACGATTAATGAATCTTTAAATGAATGAAAAAAATAAAAATGATGGTGTAGTGTATTGACTGATGAAATTATTATTGAACAATTAAAATTTGTGTTTTAATTTTTTTAGTTGTTCTCTTTGATTTTTATGTTCATGTGATCTGATGATGATGATGACGACCGATGCAAATGAAAAAAATTTATAAAGTCAAGTTCATCAGCATGATTTAATTAATATTTGAGATTTAGACTAATAAGAAAAGAGATGAAAACACTGATGTAGAATTTTTTTGAGGAATTCACAGTCTGGATAAGTTCTTATATAAAGAAACGGTTTAAATGGTGCATAGTACGTTCATAGGGGGATATTAGATCCCCAAGAACTCACTTGGGAAAGGTTCCAGTTTTGGATATTTTATGTTTTTTTCGTGCAAAAGTTGCTTAGTTGATCTTCAGCTTACATTTACCTATTGAAAAATCCTTGACTGTCCATTGGTGGCTCACCCAAAGACGTTTTCATCATTGTATAAATAAGCTTGATTTGTGTGCTTGTTGACTTCGTATTTTTCGGGTGCTTGTGGAATACATTCTCTACGGCCTTATCAAGACTTGTTGATATAGTTAGCCGGGGAGGGAACAAATGGATTAGAATAGCCTGTCGTATCACTGCATCATTTGTCTTTGCTCCGTTTACCGAGTAAGATGAACTCATCATAGTTTCAAGCATATCAGTATGATATACAGTATCCGAAACCTGTAGGCGATTACGCACCAAAAGCTTCTAAACAGACTACTCAGGATAGTGAATAAGAAAGCCTATTCGGCTACCAAGTGATATGTACAAATAAGCGTTTATATATATAAACCTCCTTTAGGGCATTTATTCACTTCTGATCGGCTCACTACTATTCCAGTTCCAGCTTCATCCCCTTATGTCATCGTTAAATAGAATCTTTAATTAAATTGTACTTAATCCAATTTGTTACATTACACATTAGCAAAGTAATCCAATGTGGATTACCATGTTATATCTGGTGAGGCTTGCGTTTCGTGATGACTCAACCGAGTTATGTTGGCTGGAACAAATGTTCCTTTAGATTCTGTAGTGCCAGGCACGTCGAATGGATGATGGTAAGATTAAACGCAGCAACTTGAGGTCTTAGGGTGGAGTCCTACTGCTGACTGTAGATGGGTAAGACAGTAGTAAGGTGTTACTCTCGAACAACTAGCATCTGCAGCAACGCCACCTTTTCACAAGGAAGTAAAGGATTAGAAAAGATCGACCGTGAACATGCCACACCTCTCCTTAAACCACGGATTTCCGTCTTCGACAGTAAGGCCACTTGAAGAGCCGAGGTAACATGTCGAAAACTTTCCATAAAAAGGCCATGTATGACCGGCCTCAAGCAGTTGTCTGTTGGACTGTGCATTCACGCTCCCAAGTCTCTAAGGCCAACACTAATCCAACTTCCTTTTCAGATTCCTCAAGAAACTTTTTTCCACATTCTAGGCAGCCGGCAGGTGACATCTGATCTCATACTCATAACAGCACACGAAACCATATCGGTCAACATAAAATCCTGCTTACATCATGTCATACAACTCAAAGTTCTCTTTGAAACACAAAATCAATCAATCAACTGAAAAATACTGACATAGAAAAAACACAACAGTGAATCAATTTACCTTTTTTATTTGAAAATCTGTTTTAGCACTAGTTTCAATAAAGAATAAATTTTCTTTCTCAGCTTTTTCTGCTGCTTCTTCGGTTGTTATAACTCTGAAGTTGATTTTTTAAAAGAAAAAAAAAGAAATGAGAACACAGATTTATGCTTATATAATTCAATCAATGCCGTTTGTTTTTACAGGTATGAGGGCGGTTGTCACTTCCCGGATGCCCACACCGTGGAAGGGTGTTACTTGAGGGGCCTGAAAAGGAAGATAGATTGGTGTCGGTATTAGAGACCTGGGAGCGTGAACGCAGAGTCCAAGGGAGAACTGCTTGAGGCCGGTCATACATGGCCTTTTCATGAGGTTTTCTGAGTATTAGCTCCGCTCTTTTTAAGGCCCTTACTGGGAAGCTCTTACCGCCAGAGGCGGAAATATGTGAGATAAGGTGAGGTGTGACGTTTTTAGGTTCGACCTTTTCTAACCACTTCCTTCCCTGTGAGAAGGCAGCATCGCTGCAGATGCTGGTTGTTCGAGGGAAACACCTTACTGCTGTCACACCCGTCTACAGTAGTCAGCAGTATGACTTCGCCCTCAGACCTTGAGTAGCTGCTTTTAGTCTGATCGTTCTCCAATCGACCTGCCTGGCATGGTAGAACCAACAGGAACATGTTGAAGGCAATATAGCTCGGTTGGGTCATGACGATAGGCAAGCCCGACCACCATGTCAAGGTGGCAGCTACCGTCGGGAATCAATGCTCTTTGGTTACCTGTATCATAGACACGACTCTCGAAGATACCCTTTTCCCCATTCAGCGTTACACTGATCTACTCCTACTATTATTACTTTACTCTCTATTATATTACTCGATGAAGAGTAAATAATAAAAACAAATGAAGCACATTTACAGCCATCTTTACAGTTCAAACTTCAAAATGCTATATTCTAGTAATTCATAGCCTAGTGTGAGCTGTCGAGAGTGAAGTAACTGATCACCTTGATCACATCACTTATTCTGCAAGTCTCATCAGTCATATGGGATGAATGGCTGACACAATTTCAGAAAGACAACCATAGTATTACATTACAGGGTTGTGAATATTGTTAAGTTACACATTTGAAATCATGAATCGATCAATGTTAGACCACCATTAGAAACCTGGAAGCACTGGAAGGCCGTTGCATCCTAGTATGGGACTCATTGATCGATTCATGACTTCAAATGTGCAACTTAACAATACTCACAAATCTGTAATGATATTACATGTGCTCACTAGTGACTAGCTCCGTGAGGAATCTTCTCCGAGTTCTATTGGGAAGACGTGACCAGTGGAGTTCAACCTGTTCGGGTGTAGACAGTAACTACCGAAGACTGTGTATGAGGTTGCGCAAGACCGTCAGTTGATCGGAGTTAGACATTAACACCGTTAGATACCGGCTCAGTGGTCCAGATGTTAGGCGTTCGCGCGCAAGACCGAAGGTCCTGGGTTCGAATACCGCAAGGTGCGGGATTCGTGGATGCGAACTGCTAGTGATGAGTCCCATGCGAGGACGAGGCGGCCGTCCAGTACTTCCAGGTTTCTAATGGTAGTCTAGCATTGATCGATTCATGATTTCAAATGTCTAACAATTGGTATCAACAAATTCCTCATCGTATAACGCAAAAGTTATGTTCTTATGACTTTCCGAGTGTACGTATGCTGAACATTAGTTTGCTTCGTATTCTAACCGCATAGTTTAAATGAATTCATGAGGCATGCATAGTTTGTTCTATACTCAGTCAAAATATTTTCCAAGTATCGCCTATATGCATGATGGAAGATGCAAGCGAGTAGTATTGAACTTAGGAGCATATCGACAGTTAGAGATGATTGATAAGACTTCGAATCTTCGGTGAGCGAACTGACAAGAACATGCATCGTACATTTTTAACGACCTTTTGTTCAGAGTTGTAATAAAAATACCCTAGCAGGTAAGTTTGACCATAACAAGATATCTAATAACCTATGGAACTGCCAAACTCCGCCAGTAGAACCTTCGGGGCTACTGCCGGTCCCAAGCCCGGGTAAAGGAGGAGGGTTGGACATGGGGTTGGCGACCCCATTCCGTCGAAAACTAACTTGCCAAAAAAACGCTAATCAGAAAAAATAATTCAAACCATTTTAACTCTGCCCTGGGAGTTGGAGGAAGAATTATGACGTCGCGTGATGAAAGCCGAGTTCCCTCGGAAGTCACGGGGCCGATGCCTCTTCTGACAACCAGAGCAACCATCTTTTTAGGTACATGGAACTTTCATACATTGCAGGAGACTGGAAGACTATTTGAAGTTGCGGCAGAAATGAAAAGATACAACCTCGAGGTGCTCGGCATCAGTGAAACGCATTGGACACAGGTAGGACAACTGAGACTAGCTTCAGGGGAACTGCTGTTATACTCTGGTCATGAAGAGGAAAATGCTTCACATACACAAGGAGTTGCACTGATGCTGTCCAAACATGCACAAAAGGCACTGATAGGATGGGAATCTCATGGACCAAGGATCATTAAGGCATCCTTCAAAACAAAGAAACAGAACATTACAATGAACGTCATCCAATGTTATGCACCTACCAATGACTACAATGACGACGTTAAAGATCAATTCTACGAAAGGCTGCAGTCAATCGTCGAGAAATGTTCACCAAAGGATTTGACGATTCTTATGGGAGACCTGAATGCCAAGGTTGGCATGGACAACACTGGATATGAAGACATCATGGGACGACATGGACTGGGAGAAAGGAACTAAAACGGTGAGAGATTTGCAAACCTATGTGCTTTCAACAAACTGGTAATCGGTGGCACATTATTCCCGCACAAACGCATTCACAAAGCCACATGGATTTCACCGGACCACACTACTCAAAACCAGATTGATCATATCTGTATCAACGAAACGTTCAAAAGGACTATGGAGGATGTGAGAACCAGGAGAGGAGCTGATATAGCCTCAGATCACCATTTGCTGGTCGCCAAAATGAAACTGAAGCTAAAGAAGCACTGGATAACGGGACAGACAACATCACACAAGTTTAATACGGCATTTCTTTGGGATACTGTAAAGCTCAAGGAATTCAGGATAGCCCTTACCAATAGGTTCCAGGCCTTTTAGGATCTACACAATGGAGAGGACGCAACGTTGGAAAACAATTGGAAAGGGATTAAGGAGGCAATCACTTCAACATGTCAAGAAGTTCTGGGTCACAAGAAGTACCATCACAAGGAATGGATCTCTGCTGGTACTCTTGCAAAAATTGAAGAAAGGAGGAACAAGAAGGCAGCAGTGAATGTCAGCCGAACTAGAGCGGAGAAAGTTACCGCACAAGCTGCATACACAGAAGCAAACAGGGCAGTGAAGAAGAGCATCAAAGCTGACAAACGAAAATATGTGGATTATCTAGCAATGACGGCGGAAAAGCTGCAAGAGAAGGAAACGTGAGACAATTGTACGAAACAACAAAGAAGCTGGCCGGACACTATCGTGAACCAGAACGATCAGTGAAAAGTAAGGAAGGGAAAGTAATCAGCAACACTGAAGAACAGCGAAATAGGTGGGTAGAGAACTTTAAGGAACTATTGAATCGACCAGCTCCACTGAACCCACCCAACATCGAAGCAGCATCCAAGGACCTCCCAATTAATAATGGCGCACCTACGATTGAGGAGATCAGTATGGCCATCAGACAAATCAAGAGCGGCAAAGCAGCAGGACCAGACAACATTCCAGCAGAGGCAATGAAAGCAGATGTAGAAGCAACTGCGAAAATATTTCACATCCTCTTCAAGATGATTTGGGATGAGGAACAAGTACCATCAGATTGGAAAGAAGTATACCTCATCAAAATACCAAAGAAAGGCGATCTCAGCAAGTGTGAGAACTACAGAGGCATCACTCTTCTTTCAATACCAGGCAAAGTCTTCAACAGGGTATTGTTAAACAGAATGAAGGACTTCGTAGACGCCCAACTTCGAGATCAACAGGCCGGATTTCGTAAGGATCGATCATGTACTGACCAAATTGCTACATTACAGATCATTGTGGAACAATCAATTGAATGGAACTCACCACTCTACATCAACTTCATCGACTACGAGAAAGCATTCGATAGCGTGGATAGGAAAACACTGTGGAGGCTTCTTCGACACTGTGGTGTGCCTGAGAAAATAGTCAACATCATACGGAACTCTTATGATGGATTCAACTGCAAAATCATGCAGGGAGGACAGCTAACGGACTCTTTCGAGGTGAAGACCGGTGTGAGGCAAGGTTGCTTACTCTCACCCTTTCTCTTTCTCCTGGTGATCGACTGGATTATGAAAACGTCAACATCTGGAGGGAAGCACGGTATCAACTGGACAGTTAGGACGCAGCTGCACGATCTGGACTTCGCAGATGATCTGGCTCTTCTATCGCACACTCAACAACAAATGCAAGAGAAGACGACCAGTGTAGCAGCAGCCTCTGCAGCAGTAGGTCTCAACATACATAAAGGAAAAAGCAAAATTCTCCGATGCAACACAACACGCACCAACCAAATCACTCTTGATGGAGATGCCTTGGAGGACGTCAACACCTTCACATATCTAGGCAGCATCATCGACAACCATGGTGGATCGGATGCAGATGTGAGGGCGTGGTTTGGCAAAGCAAGGGCTGCATTTCTACAGTTGAAAAATATCTGGAACTCCAAACAACTTTCAACGAAAACCAAAATAAGGATTTTCAATACAAATGTGAAGACAGTACTGCTGTATGGAGCGGAAACATGGAGAACTACCAAAGCCATCATCCAGAGGATACAAGTGTTTATTAACAGCTGTCTGCGCAAAATACTTCGTATTCGTTGGCCAAACACCATCAGCAACAACGAAATGTGGGAGAGAACAAACCAGATTCCAGTGGAGGAGGAAATGAGGAAGAAGCGGTGGAAGTGGATAGGACACACATTGCGAAAAGCACCTAACTGCGTCACGAAACAAGCCCTCACATGGAACCCACAAGGCAAAAGGAAAAGAGGAAGGCCCAGGAACACACTACGCCGAGAAATAGAGAAAGATATGAGGGGAATGAACAAACATTGGACAGAACTGGAGAGAGAAGCCCAGGACAGAGTTGGTTGGAGAAAACTGGTGGGCGGCCTATGCTCCTTTTTTGGGGGTAACAGGCGTAAGTAAGTAAGTAAGTAAGTAAGTAATGGAACTGCCAGATAGCGATTAAATAGACAAGGTCTACGTTCCAATCGTGATCCTTGTGTTTTGAAGAGCTCTGTTAGAATGAATACGGTACTGAAGAGTAATTCATAAATCTTGAATTTTAATGGTGACACGTATTTCTTGCTGAATATTTTCACTGATTGAGTTGATACAAACTAAGACTGCTTGAATCGACTCAATAAATGACAAACCTTAGAGAGTTTATTATTGATAGAGGGAATAAATGATACTTTTGTATGAGAAATACGATTTCTTATTTTCATTCAAATCAAAAATCGATCAATGATAGACTATTACTGGAAACCTGAAAGCACTGGACAGATGTTTCGTCTTAGTACAGAACTCATCATCAAGGCGCATCCATGACTCCCACAACTCGCAGGGTTGGAAATGAGGATCTTCGCTCCTGCAAATGAACGCTTATTATTCTTTAATTACTATCATAGTTTATAGAAGCATGAAAAATTTTCTCTTTGGCATTTTACTGAAACAATTCGAAGCATAAAAATGATTCGTTACACTTGTACGCCAATGGAATGAGGTGTATACCGAATAAACTACCGATTTTAGATAGTAATAATCATAAAAATTCAATATATAAAATTGTTCTACATTATTAAAAACAATTTATCCATATCATTTTCTAGGGTTGATCTATTCCACTCTCAAAAATATCAGGTCAATCTTAAGATTATATACTACAACATGCCAAGAGTTGACATTTTGAACCGTTGAATATAGATTACTTAAAAGTTTGCAAGTTTGATGCATACTTTAAAATCTAAAACTTTTGACAAGCTAAACTGAAACTACTTTCTTTTACACAATCTGATGTTGAATGATTCAACAATTAATATCATTTCAAAATGTGAAGATTATGTTAAAAAATTCTTCTATTATAATGAATGAACAGTCAAATTACTGAATTACTCCATTAAAAATTAGTATTATATTTTACTTTATGAAATCATGAAGTGATCAATGTCAGACCACGTGGGAGCACTGCAAGACGGTTGTTTCATCTAGGAATGGGACAATTTGTCAACAGTGCGTATCCGCAATTCCTGCAACTCGCGAGATTCGGACCCAGAATCTCCGGTTCTGAGGGCAAGGGCCTAACCTCTGGACCACTGAGTTGGTATCTAAGGGTGTCTAACTTCGATCAACCGACGACAGTCTCGTACAACCTCATACACTGACTTTGGTAAACACTGCTTTACGCCCGAACAAGGTTGAACTTTATTGGTCACGACTTCTTCTCACTAGAGCTCAGTGAAACTTTCTCACAGAGTTAAATGATATAATCATATTTATGTGAAATTTTTAACTAGATTGATTAGAGATTATGTGAATGTTAAATTATATTCAGATCTTAGAATTCATGCATTTTTATTTGGTTGTCTTTTGTTTTTTGTTTACTTTAAGAATGAGCAGAAGCATAAACAGAAAATTTAATACCATTTCGATTCATATAGGGAAATGAAACCAATTTACAATATGATGATTTACTGAATACGAAGAAGGAGTTTGTAAAAGTTCCCAATTTGTAATAAATATTGATAAAATATCAATCTTAACAAAAATTATGACTAGTATCATTACTTGTATGGAACAGATACAATGCAACTAACAATGGAATCCAGGAAGTGAATTTCGTCCTATTTGGGACTCATCAGATGAATATACCCCTGTAACTTAGAATTGATACTCACTCCGAGATTCGAAATCACGAGTATTCATTTCAAAAATCGTCACGTTGAAGCAGTAAAAAACGAGGAAAAACACCTTGTGACTATCTTCCAAAAGAACAACTATCCATGCAACTTCATCAAAAAAAATCAACTGAAACCATCAACAGAAGCGAAATCAAGTACAGGAACCATTAAACGGATCATCCTACCATACATAAAAGACACATCGGAACATTCAGCACGACTACTGAGACCATTTGGAATAGGTGTGGCACACAAACCAACAGAATCACTTCAATCAATCCTATGTAGACCAAAGAACAAAATGACAAAGGAAGAAAAGCCAAATATCATCTACAAAATAAATTTCTTTGACTGTAAAAAAACACTACATAGGGCACAGAGGACGTCCTCTTCAGCTTCGTTTACGTGAACATCAATTAGCAGTCGAACGCCTTGACATTTCTTCAGTCATATGAATACATACGGAAAACAATGCATACACCTTCGATTGGATAAGAGAAGCACAAAGAGCACTGGCGAATTTTCAGAAGCTTGGCAGTCAGGTCAATGAGCAATCAACAATCACATCGCCACTGACCCAATTAACCAACCAAACAGAAAAAGCATAGGCGACATAGGATCAAGAAACAGATCAAATGGGGGATACAATCAAAACAAAAGTGCAAACGACTGCAGGTTTAAGGTCAACAGCGACCAATCAAGATTAATGTTAACAGAACAAGCTACGGGTCAAACGTGGAGAAATTCGAATACTCCACTACTTCTACCTAAAGTTTGTGCTTCAAACGAAGAACAATGAAAGCTCCACAACCAAAACATCTAGTTCAGAGGACGAAAAACCACCACAACCGTCGCGTTATCCACTCAGCTACTGAGTTCAAGAAAGTTAACACTGACCAAATTTCCGTTAAAATACCAATGAAGGAATAATTCAAACCACTTTGAAATTGAATTATTATCATAAATCATATGTAGTATATACTAATTCTGGATTAATTTACATAATTTGATCAATTCATGTTTCCAAACGTGTGACTTAACAATCTTCACAACCCAGTAATACAATTACCAGTGCTCACTAGTGATTAGCTCCTTCAGTTCTAGTGGGAAGTCATGACCAGTGAAGTTTAGCCTGTTCGGGTGTAGACAGTAACTACCGGACACAGTGTATGAGGTTTCGCAAGACCGTCAATTGATCGGAGTTAGACATTAACATCGTTGGATACCGGCTCAGTGGTCTAGATGTTTGGCGTTTGTGCGCGAGATCTAAGGTCCTGGATTCAAATCCTGCGGGGTGCAGGATTCGTGGATGCGCACAGCTGGTGATGAGTCCCATATCAGGACGAAACATCAATCTTACAGTGCTCTCTAATGACTGATTGATGATTTCAAATGTTTCACTTAACAATCTTCACAATCCTGTAATGTAATCTATTATTGTTGTATTTTATTCTACTTCTAATAAATTATTTGACTGGAACAAAATCTCGGTAAACAGATTTTCTATCCATTTTTTATCCTTGTTGTTGAAGCTTTGAACGAGTCACTATCTAATAATATACATCACTGAACAGTATGTTTGCAGTGAGGTTTGGAATACTGGAAAAATATTGAGTCACTGCTAATTAGCCCAGATTGAGAAATATTGGCAATGAATGATAGTTTTCCTACAGTTTCAGTCTCAAAAATAACTCGCCATTATAATATGGATTTTTGTAAAACTATGACGATGAATTACAAGATCATCAATAAACAATTTTAGAATTCATGAACCAAATGAGACTTTTTTCGTGAAATTTCACTTTTAAATGAGACTATCACTAAATCCAGAGGTGTAATGCTGTCTACCTTTTTCAGCATAGTGTTTCAAGGTTACAAGAGTAGTCTATTCAACTTGTCTTTAAACTATAACAATTTTATAGTCACATAGATATGTATATACTCAATTCAGACTTCTGTTGATCGATACCATCACTGAAATTCAACTATGTCATTAGAATGACAGATATCATCAGTGAAATTAACTGACGATCTCTTGATATTACGAAAACTTTCTGAAGTTGAAAAAAAAATAAACCGTGGGATTATCACTAATTTGTATAGATCTGTTGTTTCTGCATTGATACTGTGTGCTAACAGCATTTACGGCAGAGTACCCCTGAGTGACTGAAGCCTATGTTGCGTATTATTAGTCAGTTGATTCCATGATGTGTAATGGTGGCTGACAAGTGAGTAAATTAAATTAAAGCTAAGAGCGAAGTGGGTAGGTAATATAACCATTGGATGAGGTTACTGATTATCCGCAAGAACCGTGTCAGTGGATGAAGAGCTTCTAAGTCAGTTTTAGTGATGCACCTAGAGTATATTCTCCAGTCTCATCTGAATAATGAAATACAGTTTTCATAAAAAACCTTTTTGGCTTGTAATCACACTAAACTTCTTTCAATCTACTGATACAGATTGTTGCAACTTGCATTCAAACATATTCTGGCCAAATTCTACGTTTGCTATAGCGAGATGGGTGTGGACTGTGAGCAAATCCTAACTAAGGAAAAAATCATTCTCCATCTTTTACTAGTTAACGATGAAATGTCATTTCAAAAGATAAGATTGTTTTAGTAAAGCAAATTCCAGAGAGATATTTAAGCCTAAGAAATAAAAGTCATTTGATAATATTAATATGAATCTGTAAATCTACTATAATATTTATTTTATCAAGCTCTAAGTTTGATTGAATATAATTTGAAAATAGTTTTTTTTTAACATAACTTACCGTTCATCTTCTAAATCAACTTTATTGCCAACAAGAAAAATCAATGTGTTAGATGAACGTTCACTGCGAATTTCTTTAATCCATTCATCGGCTTTGGTAAATGATTCACGATCTTTAACATAAAAAAGAAAAACATCAGTGATCATCAAGTTGACATTAATTGATTTCTGACATGTGAACCAAAATTACCGTTAAAAATAGATATTCAATGCAGGCTTTCGTTTTTTGTGCTGTGGGTAATCAAATTTGACAATAAAGTCGAATGTCTTTGGGATAAAATATGCATTACCGACTTATTTACATAGTTTGAGTGTTGAGTTTCTCAGAATGAAAGAGAAAATGTCTGTCTAAATTGGCTTAAAACACCTTTTAATTGATCTTCACCAAAGGAGAGTTAAGTAAAATTGTAAATTATGGAAATAACAGACACAAAAACTATAAATTTAAGATATTTTAAGGTGAAAAACGAACATTTCACATAGTTTTGGATTTTCGTCGCCTTTTAGTCCTCACAAAATAAATTAAGCCATACAAGTATGAATGTAAACGAATAATTTGTACATATAGTAATCAGGGTATGATTTATTCAAACATGCATCTCAGTGGCAATAGTTGCTGTAAAATCCTCCCGGTTTTATTTCATTAAAAAGTTAGTTCTCTGATGTTGATATGAGTCATTATTGGTTACCAGTTATCAAATCTTTGATAATGTAATTATCTAATTGCCAAGCACAAGTGGGCTTTAAAAATTTCATTGGTTTTCGTTCGAAAGTATTTTGTTCATAACATAATTTTTCGTTTATGCTCAAATTAGGAAATTATAACTGATGGATTTTCAAAAATATTGTGAATATAATTAACTTTTTAGATATTTTAGGATTTAAAATTCTTACACAGCAAGTGTTGGGTACAAACTATCTAACTTTATGATGAATTTGGCTTTTCGAAGCTATTTTTGAGCAAAGTAGTGATCATTTGAATGAATCTCACATGGTTTATATAAAAGCTATAAAATTTTATATACAGAATTTCTAAAACGGCATCACTTTCGGGCATTAACAAGATCCCTTAAAAAGCCGATTGTCTAAGTATATCTGAAGACTCAATATTAGTACCTGAAATAACAAGTGGTAAATAGTATGAGCAACTGCCAAAGATTTTCAAGATTTGCGGAGACCTCGTTGAGCATTTGAATGCCTTGATGAGGATGCGTTTCGGGTTTCACACCCGATTTCAGGGTGATTAAAGTTACAGTATTGTGTTAAAGTAGCTACTCCGTGCCTAACCAAACATATAGTCATATTGAAACGTTTTCAACATGTGTATCTTTCAAAACACCCCTTCAGTGAACGCTTAAAACGACTAATACTTGTTCCATAATTTTATCATAGAAAACGAGGTGATTTTATGTCGGTAGCCCGCGTCTTAAATAACGATTGTGCTATTAAAATGTCTTATCCTTTTGCTTTGTTTAGAACTAGTTATCTCTAAGGCCTCTGCTAGAAGGTTCAAAAATCACTATCGAGTAAACGAAAAGTATTATTCCCTTTTTTATCAAGTGATCAATAAATGAAACAGCTTAGCGTAAGTGCCTTCAGGAAAAAATTTTATTGAGAATCGAGATCTTTATTGGAAAACACAAACCTGACGAACTATTATTCTTATTATCGTAAAAATTGATCTATGTCTCTCAAAATTGAAGAAGATATATCTATTACTAGAAAAATAATCTCAATCAAAATTTATTACCCTCAACAAAAAATGCCATCTATGAATACTTATGCCTTTCTTTAAATATTTCTATAAAATTATCCGACTTAATTGATTTAATGAAAAGTCACTTACTTGTGACATCATAGACAACAATTGCCACAGATGAATCTTTTATATAGCTAGGAATAAGGCTGCGAAACCTTTATTTGGTATGAAGCTTATAAAATTTCATAATACCTTTCTTGACCAGCTGTATCCCACAGCTGTAAACGTACCTGGAAAACAAATGTCAAATAAAAAACTAACACACCTTCTTACTGATTTTTCGTTGAAGCAAAGAGTTTTGGAAACGAAATCAATTCCTATTGTAGCCTGCAACATTACAAACGTATGTAATAAGCTCAACAAACGTGATAAGCGGGGTCGTAGGTATCGTGCATGAAACGTAGTATAATGCATGTTTTGCCAACTATCAGGTTGAAAAAATTATTATAAATATTGTTACCGCCATGTTCTCCAAGGAAAACACACTTCGACTTGATGACGGAATATTCAGAATTAACAGCCCCTTGCATGTCACAGAAACTAATAAGGTTGACAAACTTTCCGCGAAAATCTAACTCCTGTTTCCCAATATCCAATATTCTTTTTCCACGAGTTTGTATAAACTAATTGATTTCTTTGCAGTAGATTCGGGTTCTTTTGGAAAGGTTACAGGTTTTTGGTTGTGTTCAATGAATGTTAAGTAGTCTTGTGACTCGACTGTCTAATTCTAGGCAGTTGGCGGTTGTTTGTGAGTTTGTGTGTCCGGTGATTTGAATGAATGCGTTTATTGCAGGACATTAGGGATTCTGAATACCAGAAGCTATCACATTACCAGGCCGGAGATCGGTTAGATGCATTGAGTAAAGCAATACGGAGAAAATTCTAATGCTTATAAGATTTCTAAACCAAGTAAATAAATGGGTAATCAAGTTAATTAATTGGTGGTGAAGATTGCGCAACAGAACCGAAATGTCGGGGAAGAGAAACAGAGATAATAACCTAGTTGTATTCAGTTAGTGATCTGAGGAAACAAAATAACAACTGGCTCCTTTAAAGACACACGCATCAGGCACAGCTGCTCCAAGTGCGAGATCATCATCAGCATGTGCATGTGTTTTTCGTAATGTTACTTGAAGCTATTCACTGAGGAAGTTTTAGTCACCTCGGCTAGGAAAGCACTCCAAGTTGCGACATTTTTTAATGAGAACGTAATGTGTTTTTAACCTGGGATGGTGAATTTAGAGGCGTTATAGTACAACCTTAATTTTGAACGTTTACAGAAGCCAAAAATAATAACCGACATACACTGACCTTATTGATTTATGTCAGGGTTCATCACTTCGATTTGTGGTTTGTTGACCTTTACTTTTTTTCTGGCTCCTTCAATGGTGTTCATCATAATTTTGCGAACTTTTCTACCAGTTTACTCGAACTTTTAAACTTGTCTACAGATATTTTTTGTGTAGGCATTCATAGTTATCAGACCTAGTAATCAGTGTGATCTTCTTTTGTGTCGACGCAGGTGTCACAAGTTTTCTCCACGACATACAGACAGCTAGAAAGATGAAGTTTGGTTAACGAAGCTTTTTATATAACAAATAGTTAGATGTTACAGTAACCAAGGTTAATCTAAAACTAGTCCCACTTAAAGCGAAAGCAAACTCAACTGAAGCAGCTCTGGCCCCCAAAGTCACTAGCGACGTCTGCTCGGAACCTGCCTTCAAACTCCGTTGCAAGAAATATATTGCGTGTAAATGGTATGCCTCGTGTAACGAATTGTTCTTCAGTCTAAGTTTTATCAATATTATCATAAGAATGAGTTGGGAGTAACAGGTGGTTGCATAAGTTATGTTCCTGCACAAAATCTAGGGGATATGGGAGATGAGGTGAACTCAAAGGTGGATTAGTAGTTTATCTGAACGGCATTCATGACGGTGAGGCGATAACCTTAATCTGCCCATGCCTTTGGAGCTCGCTCACGGCTCCTACCGATCTAGAAGGATATAACTAATCAGTAATATAGATTTTGCTTTTCTAAGTCAGCCACGTCGGTACTTATCCCGCATTCTTGTAGGTCTTCGGGTTTTTCACAGGGCTTTAGAAAATCGTTTTGGGATTTAGAACGAGATCTTCTCAGAGACTTCTTTCCATTCTAGCGTCATGAGCTATTTTTGGGAGCCAACACTTCCTTATTGCGTCCTCATTAGTTCTTCCTTTCAATCAGTTAGAATTTTTATATTTCAGAAACTCTCCAGATAAAATAAGCTGCACTTAGAATCCATTTACAGATGATCAGCTGTCTACTTTGTTCCTTTATTATTTACGTGTATTTCGGTGGGTGTTTATCATGTGTTCGAACAGGACTTTAGCTGATATTTTCATAAGTATGCCAACAGCGAAAAGAGCATCCTCGCCTTCAGTACCCTGGCCGTCACCACAAACCCCTTCTATTATTGGCATAATACTCATTGTGTCACAGATCAGTAGTAAACCTTTCGGACGGTGGAACAAGCATAGCAGATCAGTGTTAATAATGGTAATTTATTCTCAAACAACAACATGTTACAAGATGCATGCCAATTCACAGGCACTAATTAAATGTTGAAATTGCTAACGTACATTCTGGGAGAGGTTGTTTACTTACGTAAGTACTTCACAAGATAAATTAACTACTTATAGATAGCTAAAAATCTCTACATAAAATTATGGAAATTGTTTCAGACTCTGGAATGTGCAATACGAGAAGTGACACCAGTTACGGCTTTTGTATTGCCAAGAACCACTGATGGCCGATAACCGATGCAAAGTGAATCCAGTTCTGCATATAACAAGAATTGGTCAGGTAAGTATGCAAAGATCTTGAAATTGAGATTCGTCAGATAATAAATTTACGGGCTCACGTTTAAAGTAACCAAGTCTTCAGAGATTATCCGGACTAAAGATTAGTATGAGGTTCTGAAAAAAGAGAAACGAAGATAAAGTGGTGAGGAGCAGAACAGAAAATATTCTTGTTTAAAGCTGAGTAATGACTCAAGAGATAATATTTTCTGATAAGACAGAGGTATAATCACTCAGACCTTTATTTTTGTGTGTTAGAATATTCAAAGTACACCTGCACTTATATAGGTTAATGAAGATAAGTCACTAACAAAATAATGATTGGGCAATTAATCATGTGAGTAAAGGAAATTCAGAAGAAATTAATTGTTGGAAATAATGTTGGTTTACAGAATATAATGATGAGACACAGACATACTACGCTTTAGTGATATTTTATTTATACTTTTTTTTAACGCTGAAGCTCAAGAAGGCAAGGGTGATTTCTTTTTCGCCATAATTTTCCAGATCTGCTTGTAAAATGATTAGGTGGTAAGAAGAAGAACCAATGCAAGTTTACGAACACATGTCGTAGACGCGGTTGACTTAGAAAAGTAACATCAACATTATTGATTAGTTACATCCTGTTAGATCGTAAGGAGCCGTAAGCAAACAAAATGTCCTGCCCCACAGATATGGGTAGATTGAGGTTATCACCTAACAGTCATAAATGCTGGTAAGATACATTACCTTCCTTCCTTTTGTTATGTTAGGCTCTTTTACGCTTAATGGTACGTCATTAATAATGTTTTTTGGTCTACGCTCTAATTTTTGTACACCTTATCGGAATACACTTTCTCTACCAGCTCCACATTACAAACAAACCATACGAATTCGGCTTCTGTATCCACGTAGCATATCACACTGCTACTAATTAAGTTAATCTTATAAATTGTAGGATATATGTCAGTTAATAGGTAGTTTGCAGATAGGGAGGATAGGCAGCTGACCAGAGAAAGTGAGGAAAAGTAATGTGAAAAATTCATGATTAAGGCGTAAAATAGTTGAGAAAGCAAGGTGTTTGAATGTTAATGAATTGTGGAAGTTAAAATTTATTTAACTTTTAATCGCTGAACAAAAAGGAACTCACAATGATACCGGAAGTTTAAGCTCCTTGAAATCGGCAGTATTTGAGCAGCATCTACAGGCTTTTCAATTTATCTGTCTACTAAAAATGAAAAAACCATATTTCGTGTGTGAGATAAGAAGATAACGATGTGCATTTAAATATTAAAGAAACTCCAAATAATAGAAATACATGCATAGAGGCCTGACTTTCTGCTATTAGTTGGAGTGGGGAAATCTGTCTATTATTTCATGATACCCCTATGGATGATAATGAGGGTGCAATATATTTATGGTCCGTCAGTAGTTCCTAGGTTTAGCTTAAATATCAGGTGGATCATAAAAAAAGTTCCTTAGGATTTTGGAAAGAGTTTATAAATCTATTAGAGTCTAACAATAGCCTTATTAGTTCTGTGAACTCGATGATTATGTCACAGAAACGGAAAGAACTTGGTAGTCTATTACATAACAAACTGAATCGCATTACACATAAAATTACAACGAAATGACTTTTATTGGTTCGCGGTAAGTAATGTATATAGGCTGTTTATGAGTGTATGAATAGAATCGTGGCTCATTATTTGGTAGGAGGATACGAACGAGGGTTCATATATTTACACAGGAGTGTAGTGCCTTCACATATATTCCAGTTCGCTTACATCTAACATGGTTAAGCCCTTTTCAATCAATTGATTTAACCAAGCCATTCGCGTAGCAGCAACTTATATGTACCATTCTTTCTTATTATTGTCTGGTTTGTATGAGCTCACATGACGTATCCCACTTGTCATTTGACCTTGTCAACTATTCGTCGCTTTTATCCATGTGTGTGCTTGCCTATTTCGCTTGTCACATGTCTATCTTATTTTTGCCTGACTATAGATTCTTAGTCATGTTCTATTTTTTGGAGTTGGCTCATTAGCCTCTCCAACGCGCTTCGCCTATTCATTCGCTTCCTTCGCCCATTCTCTCGCTTTGTAATCCTGGGAGTTGGCTTACTAGCCATTCTCCACATCCTTTCACACGATTCACTTCGGACGCTCATCCGCTCGCCAGTGCACTACAGGTGTATTAGGCTATTTTTCAAACGATGGTGCCGTAGCGGTTCTAGGGAAAGATGTTTGCAGCCCTTTGTGTAGTCGAGAGTCTGGTTCCATCCTAGCAGTCGCCGGGTGAAGCTTCTTTGGAAATTTTCTGTTCGTATCTTGTCTATGATATTCTGGTATGAAAAGATAAGTGAGCAGTAGTCAAGTGACGGCCTTTTACACACTTGGAAGAGTCTTATTTTTCCAGAAGTTCTTATTTATAAATCCCATTAGCCATTTAGATTTAGAGATAGTAGAAGAGACATGTTCTTCAAATTTTAGAGCATAGAAAATTCACTTCAGTGAATTTTGATTTCGGAAAAAGCTAGAAGTCAGAAACGCGCCTTGCCCAGTCCAATTTCAAAATACAATTTTACGGATAAGAACGGTTCTATTATTAATCAAAAAAGGAATATAGATAATTACCTACACAATATTATAAAGTTCCGATCCCAAATTAACACAGTGAGTCCCTACGAAGTGTAGTGGATTTACGTTCTACACTTGTGGCTTTTATAAAAGTCTGCATATGACGATATTATGATCGCTTTTGTGGACTTAGTTCCAACATATACGGTATTGACGATAAGGTTACATGTAAAAACTAAATCTAATTTATTTCGATGTCTGGTTGAGCCATCAACATGTGGAGTCCATTCTTCATGTTCCAAGTTTTCAATAAACGACTTAAATCTCTTTGGTGCTTTGATTGGGAAGCAAGAGATTTCAGCCATGTTGAAGAGCCCAAAAATATCCTTGCCTGTAAACGGTGGGGATGATGCAAACGTGAATACGCCTGAAAATATTGCTAGTTCCCCCGTAGTTACGGTAGGATGATGGTTAACAGGATCGAATAGTAAGGAAACTGTATTTGAGGGTTTCAGAACGATTCGCTCAGTCTTTCCGTAACTTCCTCAGCTACAAACTCTAGGATGTATTCAGCTTTAGTTAGATCTTCAAAGTTTCTATTATTATTTGTAGGCCATTTGTGCGTGAGGGGTGCTAACTGGTTAAGCTCATCGATAGTTATGAAAAGTAAGTTTTGTAACTGTCATGTCTTGTTGCCGTGGTGATTACTTTTACGATCAGTGTTGCACGAATCATTCGACCCCTTGGATTGTGAACGTTTATATTTCGGCTTTACAACATTATTCTGATGCTTATGCTGTGTTGACTGTCAGTATATGTTGGCATAGTACCTCTTATGTGTCCGAGTTTCACCGTCCGCATACAAATGGAAGGGAGGGAAGGATTGTTATACACAATGTTGGCTGAAGATGGTGAAATTTGTGGATAAGATTTGTAGGCTTAATGAGATGAAGGTGTGACTCATCCAATTAAAGATTCATCAGGCGTATGGTTTATAGGTTTCGATTTTTTCGGAGGTTTAGAGTTGATATTTTTCTCTTTTACTCGAGTAATTGGTTATAATTAAAAAGTGAGTGTAATAAGTGCTTGACTAATTAAGGCAGATATATAGGGGTATAACTTGTTGTGTAATAACTGGATTAATACCAAAATCAGTGGAAGTTGAGAGAGATTTTATGTATTCAGTGTTCAGTTATTTAGTGTAAGAATTTCTGTCAGTTGATTATTCTGTTTAAACTAATGTATTCAGAAGTCAAGAACATTATCAAACTGTAGTATTTAGGAATGCATGTCAACAAGTATGCATGAATTGATTTAATACCTGAAAAGTTTGTTTTTTAGAAGCTAACTGCACCAGATATAATAGATAATTTGATAAGAGCATTATTATACCTCACAGCAGAGCAACTTCGTAAAACATCTATGCCATGTGAAAAATTATGCCAGTTTTAGAGTTCGCACGCAACATAAATAAACTTGAATCACTACCGAATGCCTACAACCGTACTGAAATAACACGAAAAGAGCGAAAAGAAATTGGCTGCTTCATACTAGCTCGTGAAAGATATACTGAATCAGATTATTGTTGTAACCACTGCCCCCTCAGTCGATAGCTTAAAGGAGAGACTTGCTTAGTAGAATAAGTTTACCAGTCAAACTACCACTCCCTGGCAATTACCGTATACCTGGAGCTGTACTGTAAAAATATTAAGCAAGCGTGTAAAAATTAATTGGTTTAAACTTTCTCTTGAAAATCTTATTGGATATTGGGCATTTAGGGCGCTCAGATCCCTTTCGACGTTACAAAAATGATAGGCGGGATTTTTATCTACAATCACAAAGGCGAAGTCCTAATATCAAGAATATTTCGCGATGATGTCTCAAGAAATGCTGCAGATGCATTTAGAGTCAATGTCATTCATGCGCGGCAACAAGTTCGTTCACCTATCAGCATTGTAGCAAGGACAAGCTTCTTCCACGTAAAGAGAGCAAACATCTGGATATGCGCTGTGGCTCGTCGTAATGTTAATGCTGCTATGGTCTTTCAGCTATTACACGCACTTCTAAACCTGATGAAGGATTACTTTGGTAGAGTTACGGAGGAAAAAATAAAAAATAACTTCGTTCTGATATACGAAATTCTAGATGGTAGGTTAAATTTTTTTCTGATAATTGTCACAGAGGTTATTGATTACGGATATGGACAAAACACAGATACAGGAATTTTAAAGTCTCTTATTACCCAGGCAGGAACACGTACTGCCAGTAAAGAGGAGACTGCGCAAATAACAAATCAAGTTACTGGTCAGATTGGATGGCGTCGTGAAGGTATAAGATACAGAAAAGATGAACTGTTTTTGGATATCATGGAGTCAGTCAATCTTCTTATGTCACCACAAGGTACTTTAGACACTATGTTTACCTCTCGTTTAATGTGTTTAATCACTACAATGTAACTGTAACCAACATCAGTTTCTCAGTCTACGCTGTATTTCATACGAATATTCAATTAGTGCTCCTGAAATCCAGTGGGTTGTATTACATTTTCATGTTCTATTAGGCTAGGAATATTGATTCGCTGGTCGTTAACATCTGCTACATACGAATAAAGGGAGTCCGGTCACATGTACGTAATGTAAGCTTTATCTTGCATAACGAATGACCAGACTAATTAACTAGATAATGCAACTCATTATCCTGCGTAAAAGATTTCGCTCCATACGTTTTGTGTAAAGATTTTCTAAATCAAAGTCGTAGTATGGTTCAGACCTTCAATCTAATGATCGAAAGCTCTGTCCTCCTCACTGTTACGCATCAGCTCCACAAATACTCCCACCCGTCAGCGTTGCCATACCTTACTATACTTAGCCCTTGATCACAATTGCTCCTTTCAATATCTTTTTAATACCCCTCATTCGTTTATGTTATTATTTTAAATTCATTATTGTTCCTGTTCTCTTTTAATTGTGTTGGCTGGCGTAAAGTGTAATTACTCAAGCTAACATACCTGTGCCAGATCGTGAGAAAGTTTTTGATTCTACGACTTGAAGTTCATCTGCATATTCATGCATAAAATTCCCAAATTGAATCATAGTTATTTTTCACTAATTAACTTGATATTAATACCATCTGAAGTCATGTTTCAGTGTTTCTTGTGTGTTCGGTTTGTGTTGAGTATATGCGATTTCAAATTACAACATTGGAGAAGCAAATCTGAATCCATCAAGTTGAAATTCTGTTACATCAAAATTATTCAATGTTAACATCACGGGATTTCAATACATTACTACGATATTTTGTGTTTCAGTATTATGACGATTTTTTTTATTGAAGTGTAACGAATAAACTTTGACAATATTAAGTGAGCATGTAAAAGTTGTCTAACTGATGTTTTTACCTTAATAAGGGCAGTAAGAAGATGATAAAAGCAGTTTTCTTCACATTATTAAATTTGAAATAGCGAATTATTTCCACGGATCACGAAAATACGATGAGGACTGAATGATGCAAATACGTGAGTTATTCATTGAATCACAGCTTCAAACCTACATTCAATCGATGTCGTTGGCTTTCAAATAGTAATAATCGTTAGATAAATCTCCATATAGTTATTAAAATTCAGCGTATGTTATTTAACACAGTCGTGTTTATCGTTCTTCTGTGCAATTACTACTCAAGAGTAGTGTTGGAACTCAGTTATTTGATCCCTTTTTAATGGTTGACTTATATCCCCACCTAAATCTACATTGCTTAACGATTTCATTTAACCAATTCAAGTTATACCAATTTCCAAATGTATCTTTATTTTAGCTTCGAAGTATACTTAATTCTTATTTGTTGACAAATATATTTTAATCATTCATTGATTTACCCAGTCTGATGGGTTAATTAAAATAATAAAAGTTCGTCATCATAAACTTTCCTTTTAGGACAAGTTTTATCTGCACACGTGGCTGGTCGAGTGATCATGAAATCTTATCTAAGTGGTATGCCGGAATGTAAATTTGGTTTTAATGATAAAGTCAGTTTGGAAAATAAACAGCGATCTACAGTTGGTACAGAAGACAGGTAAATTGATTTTGCTATGTGTTTAATTTTGAATTCCCTCTTCAAATGTTTGTTTGCTGTTTATGGCGAATGCATCCTTTTTTTTAATGGTTCAGGTAATCGCTAGGTAGCCATGAACCTGAGTTTAATCCTAACTGACTTATCAATAAGGCGTATTTAAAGTCTTGTGGAAACTAGCGTTTCCTTATCTACTCTGAATCTATACCACTCTTATTAATCACAGTTGTCATAGTTTTAACGAGAGATCATATGCTAATATCACGTAACAGAACTATCCTTAAGGACATGACTTTGCAAGAATAACCTTTAATCAGCAGTAATGTTCCTATTGGTCCATAATTCTCTTCCTGTGTCGCTCCTATCCCGATCGTAGCTGCTTCCTTGACTTTGTGATCGAACTTGCCTGTCGTGATAACCCAAACGAGCTATACTGGCTGAGACACATGTTCCTCGACGTCTTACCACGCCAGGCAGGTTTACTGGAGAACGGTGAGACTAAAGGCAGTAATTCAAGGTTTGAGGGCGAAGTCGTACTGCTGACTGTAGAGAGGTTTGACAGTATTGAGACGTTTCCCGTAGACAACCTGGATCTTTATTGATACTTCCCTTTCACAAGGAAAGAAATGGTTAAAAAAGATCGATCCTTAAAATGATGCATCTCCCCTTACGTCACGGATTTCCGTCTCCAGCTGTAAGGCCATTCGAAGAGCGGAGCTTACACAGATATTTCCTATAAAAGGATAGTGCGTGACCGGCCCCAAGCAGTTATCTCTTGGACTCTGCGGCCACGCTCACAGGTCACTCAGATGAATGCCAATCCTATTTCCTTTTCAGGTTCCTCAAGAATTACCGCTCCACGGTATGGGCAGCCGGGAACCAACATCCGCCTTCGTACTCGTAACAACACACGAGACCAAACTAGACACAATCAAATCTTTCCTGCACCTCTTAATAACTCTCTTATCTCCGGGACTAACCTTTCTCACACTCCTCACCTCGCTCCTCTGATGCAAACGCTTTGAACATGCGAAACGTCATTCCAAGCCTCCTGAAATCACACTCTAAACTACATGTTGAGCTTTTAATGTTCAGACTTTGTGCCAGATAGGACAAAAATCCTTCTCTAGCTAGAACTCCTGAATTTCTTGTCAGTGATGTATGCTGTGTTGACAAAACGCTCATGCAGGACCCGAATAGACTCAATAATTTGATTTCATCTTGTCCAGACAGAGAACCAACTCGGCTTATACTTTGTGTATCTGGGAGCCCTGCTGCTGATTCGTATAACCTTGCTCATGTACGTATAGCATCGAGTTCTGAACCATAACTAGCCCTCCTAGACTGGATTGTGGTAAACAGTCGCTTGTGTGCTGTCAAACTAAATGAAAGAGTATGAATTCGGAAAGCCAGAGACATTCGCCGCCGTCTCTTCGTTTTCTTTGCCTACGCTCCCTCTAACTGCAGCTCAGATGACGTGAAAGGTGAATTTTACAGAAACATTTCCAACCCTCAGGGAGCTAAGCTCTTGGTTGTTGCAGTAGTGGCCGGTGATTTTGACGCTCAAGTATGTGGACTAAGGTAAACCGAAAGGCACCTGGATGGGACTCATAATATTGCGGCTCAAAGACCAGATAATGATGACCGTCTGTTGTAACTATGCTCAGATAACCTCATATTTCTGGCAGTCACAAAATTCAAGCATAAAGAAAAGGATCTGATATGGAGACCTCAACATCAACAAACACTGGACTAAAATAGACCACATTACCATCAATAGAAAGCTCAATCGAAGACTGCCGCTCATCCTGGAGCACATATTTAGACTCAGATCATGCTCTACTATGAGCACATATTTGTCTGTGACTTAATAGACGTAAAATAGATAGCGAGGAAACCTCTCGTAGTTCAAATTCTTGATAAGAATTTCAAAAATTCACGTAAGGAACAACTAGAAAAACATTTCGGCAGCCATGTAAATGATACGCACCCCGAGGCATTTTAAAAAAATACTCAAAAATCTGTGGAAACAGCAGTGAGTGATATTTGTTAGTAAGTTAAACTAAAGCTCGGCAAGTCAGTGGATATAACAGCATCTAGTAAACTGATAAATGTTCAGAAACTCACCTCGTCTGGTACTGAACATGATCAGGAGCTGAGCCAGCTTATATATATATAATCGATAAATTAGTTTTGAGATCTAATATGACCTTCAGTTTTCGTGTTGACGTTACAATAAGCTGATGTCTTCCTTAGACTAACTAGGGAAAGAAAAAACAGTAGACTTCTTATTCATTACCAGTTTTAAAGACCCATTATGCGTAACATCAAATCCTTCAAAACATCTAATGCATTTGTTCTTCATTTCATGTCTAACCCTATCGGTAAATATGAGTGATTTAATGCTGAACTGTTGAAATTTTCGGGTAGAGATAATGCCGAGAACATTAGAGAATCCTTAGAAAATTGGTGCTTAAGTCAATAAGCACATTGAAATTATGGATGATAATAGGAGCAACAGTTGGGTCGATAAAAAAGATTATCAAAATAAATAATATATGCGTACAACAATGTTAGTTTAAAAGTCAGTTATAACTAATCAAGAAGACCAAGGTGCATGGGACAAGCTATCGAACATATGTGAAGGAATCCAGACACGTTACTCCGATTTGAATTTTGTGCTGACAATTTTGTTCCGACGAACAATGAAAGCTTCATCATGAATAAACCATTCAGTTCATCTGAGTTTCAAATCTTCTCCATCTGAATCTTATTAGTATTTCCAATTCTATACACCCAAAATATTACTATCGATTAGATCCTCATTTGATTTTACCAATATTTTTTTCACTCATATAATAATTCATGACTCTCTACATTAAGGACCTGGAAAAATTTCTCCATCAAAAATAAATCTACTGACATGATGTTATTGTTCAGTTTGGAGGATGTGATTGTGACCAATTTGGTCTCCTGTGTTGTTACAGGTATGAGGGTAGATGTTACTTTTCGGCTGCCCACGCCGTGGAAGGGAGTTTCTTGAGGAGCTTGGAAAGGAAGTTGAATTAGTGATGGGAGCGTGATCACATAGCCCAAGAGACAACTGCTTGAGGCTGGTCATACACGAATTTTTAATAAGAAGCTTTTTGCCAGAAACGGAAATCCGACCTTTTCTAACTACTTCCTCCCGTCGTGAAAAGGCAGCATCGCTGCCGTTTCTTGTTGTCCGAGGGAAATACCGTACTGCTGTTACATCCCTCCATATCTCTCAGACCTTGAGTCGCTGCTTCTAGTCTTAGCACTCTCCAATCGACCTGCCTGGCATAGTAGAACCTAAGTTAACATAGGTCCTGAATGGCAAATCGACGTAAGTCCCCCTAGTCTTAATGAAATTGAAAAAGCGTTAGGAAATCTGAAGCGAGGGCGAGCTGCGGGTCCTGATAGACTGACCCCTGAGATATTTAAGGATGGTGGTCCAGTTTTAGCAGTTAGGTTGACTGAGATCTTAGGTAGAATCTGGGAACTGGACGCAATCCCATCCGAGTGGTCTCAATCACTGATTGTCCCAATCTATAAGAAAGGACAAAAGTCTTCTTGTGACAGCCACAGGGGAATAAGTCTAACTAATATAGTTTCTAAATTGTTAGCCTCGATTATACTTAGACGCCTTACTAGTGCTCGTGAAGAGCAGACTATCTCTAGTCTGGTTTCAGACCTGGACGTGGCTGTATAGACCACATTTTCACACTACGACAGGTCCTGGAACACAGACACACATTTAGGCGTCCTACAATAGTTGTTTTCCTGGACCTTAAGTCGGCATTCGACTCTTTGGATCGTGAGGTTCTTTGGCAGTGTCTGTCATTGAAAGGTGTACCAAAGAAGTACATTAACCTCATACAAGCTCTCTACTTGAACACCACTGGTCGAGTGAGAGCTTATGGCGAACTGTCACCGGCATTCTTCACTTCAAGTGGTGTCCGTCAGGGATGTCCACTCTTTCCATTCTTGTTTAATTTTATCACAGACATGCTCTTAGAAATAACTTTATCCTCATCTGAATTTTGAGGAGTAGACCTTTTACCAGGTGACTCGCTTATTGACTTAGAATATGCCGATGACATTGTCCTACTTGGTGAAGACGCTGACATTGATTTCTCTCTACTTATCAATTTATTTATTCATTGATTGTATTCTCTCTCTCTCTCTGTCAGTAGTACTGGAGGTATTGCAATCGATGATTGTCAATTTCATCAATGTGTTAAACTGGGTCGATTCGAAACGGAACATACCATTTCGTTTATTCCACCAGATGGTGAATTTGAATTGATGCGTTATAGAACTACCAAGGTAATGAATTAATTCATATCATGTAAATCATTTATCAAATATGCATTTATGTATTCAGGTTAGAGGTACACTTTCTGTAGAAGGTATGATTATGTTAATTAGTTGGTTTCAACTACTGGATTGAATGTTTAGAAAGTGTGTAAATCTACAATTCAATTTTCTTAAATCCACATATAAACTTGTTACGTTATCCCTGACCATAGCTGCTACCTTGACGTGATAGTCGGGCTTGCCTTATCGTGATGACCCAACCGAGCTACATTGGCTGTGACTTATTTTACTTTAGGTAGGTCGATTGGAGAGCGGTAAGACTAGAAGCAGCAACTCAAGATCTGAGAACTAAATCGTATTACTGTCTATAGAGGGGTGTGACAGAAGTATGATGTTTTCCTCGGACAACTAGCATCTGCAGCGATGCTACCTTCTCACAACAGAAGGAAGGGGTTAGAAAAGGTTGACCCTGAAAATGTCACACCTCACCTTATCCCATGGATTTCCGTGTCCGGCGGTAAGACCATTTATTAAAGAGCAGAGCTAGCTTACTGAAAAAGTCCTATGAAAAGGTCGTGTGTGACCGGCCTCAAGGTGGTGGAAAAATCGTAACGAGTTGAAGGAGAAATAAGACGTGATAATAACAATGAATTCACAACAAACAGAGCTAGTCATGTAAAGTGCAGGAAAGTGACTAACACAGGTTTCTGTTAGGTTTTATAAACATGTTCCTAGCAATTTGTCTGAAAGGTAACCGAATACTTCTATATTATATAACTATCCACAAGTTAGCCGATCACTATACTCCTAGATCAACCCACTCTTACCTACCAGTCTTAAGCGCCTGAGATTTCTTCTTATTCTTAAATATTAGATAAAAATGCATAGATGGCAGAATGAACAGTACCGTCGTATGAAGGAAATCTATGTAGGACCATCATCTCTCGGTCCACCACAACTCATTAGCTGGGGAATCCTGGAGATGATGCGATTCGGTGACTTGAGACATTGTTAGGAATGACTCAGAACAGTAATCACCAGTAATTCTGTCATAGTTTACGTTTGAGTTCCTCGTAAGAGTGAGAACAACTCGTTTGATTGGAACGATATGTTATTTGATTGTATTCTTTGAACTGAACTACCTCTCCGTATACATACTACTCTAGTTAATTTATCTTCACTCATTTATTTACATTTCCGTTTTAACCTATTCAGCTTTCTTACTCTATCTCTTCACATTTTCATTCACTTGTGCAATATAAAAATGCATAGTTTTTTTGAAAAAAGACGGATACGATAACAAGATATAACATCAATTCGTAGATGTATTGAACAGACCACATACACTGAGATTTAGATGCCAGCTCAGTGGTCCAGAGCTTAAGCGTTCACTCTCAAAACCAAAGGTTCTTAGTTCAAATTTTTCGAGTAGCAAGAGTCGTGGACGCGCACTGCCACTGATGTGGTCCATACAAGGACGAGACGGCCGTCTCTCAGTGCTTCCAGGTTTCTAATGATAGTATTCTAACAATGTGATTTATTCATGATGGTGTAAACACTTATAAATAGGAATTTTTAGAAAGGACAGGATTCCGTGTTGTCGTTGTTGTTAATATTACTACTGTTTTCTTTCTCTCTGCCTTCCTCACTCCCCCCCAAAAAAAATTTTAACACATTATTTCAGGAGATTAGTTTACCATTTCGTGTAATACCATTGGTTCGTGAACTTGGTAAAACTAAAATGGATGTGAAAGTTATACTGAAAGCAAATTTTCGTCCAAATTTATTTGCACAAAAAATTGAAATCAATATACCAACTCCAATGAATACAAGTGGTGTACAAGTTGTTTGTATGAAAGGTAGAGCAAAATATAAAGCAGCTGAAAATGCTATTATTTGGAAGTGAGTTAATCTGTATTGGATTGTTTCACTATTTTTTTTCTTTCTCAAAAATCTTTGAAATATTCAAATAATTTTGACATTCCAACTCCTCGTTTCCTTACTTATCATATGGAGTTTTTATAAATAAAAATTACTCATTTGCCTTGCACCAATCAAATCGATGACATGTTTAACCAATCACACAAATGATCGAAATACAGTGTGCTTATTGGTCAATTTGTTTCGTTTGCTTTTATCTCTTTTAGCCAATCAGAATGCAACTATGTGTTTATTATATTGTCATCATGAGTCTAAAATTCTATGCTTCAATTACATTTGAGTTATAATTCTAGTTTAGAGAGGTTTAAAAAACATTCAAAACTATAGCAGATTACCGGTCTGAGTCATCTCTGATAATGTCTCAAGTCACCGCAATGCACCGTCTCCAGGACCCCGACCAGGAAGTTGTGATCTCATCACTTACACAGCTACCTGAATACAATAAATTTTAACTGTTTCTAATTATCGCTAATAATGAGTGCAGATTGAGACATAGTCCTGCGCCATTACAAACGGTTTTGAGCCATGTCATTCAAAGTGTCTAACGGATCCCAACTAGGTAGTTTACACGTACTAACATGGCTTATTCCATTTTTCAGTGACTTAATAGATTTGTGTTATGTTTTGGTCTGGCTGCCCTTAACCTTCTTCCAGCCTAATCCTACACCACAATGCATATAGCTAGTCGAAACAGTAAGTTGTTGGGCATACGCAACAACTGTCCCAACCACTTCACCAATCGATATACTATCTTTACTTAATACCCCCTTCCTAACGACCTGTTTTGTTTCATAAACTACCCTCCCCCAAAGGAGTAAAAGCAGTATGTTTTCAGTAATATGAATGATTACTTCTACTTATAAAGTTCATATTTTATTCATTTAGAATAAGAAGAATATCTGGTATGAAAGATTGTCAATTGTCTGCTGAGATTGAATTGTTACAAGCGTCAGATAAACAAAAACGTTGGATGCGTCCACCGATTTCTATGAATTTTGAGGTTGGTTTATCATTTGTATGATTATTACAATCAAAAGTGACATGGTTTCGAACCAATCGGTTACTCGATATTTTACGTTTACTGGTTTAATCCTACTTACACTAACATTGCACTACTATAATCTTTTCTGATTCTTATGTTATATTTTTTGAAAAAGAACAAAATTTAAAGAATATTATTGTTAGACTACCATTAGAAACCTCACTTACTTACTTACTTACGCCTGTTACCCCCAATCGAGCATAGGCCGCCCACCAGTTTTCTCCAACCAACTCTGTCCTGGGCTTCCCTCTCCAGTTCTGTCCAATGTTTGTTCATTCCTCTCATATCTTCCTTTATTTCTCGGCGTAGTGTGTTCCTTGGCCTTCCTCTTTTCCTTTTCCCTTGAGGGTTCCAACTGAGGGTTTGTCTTGTTACATAGTTGGGTGCTTTTCGTAGTGTGTGTCCTATCCACTTCCACCGCTTCTTCCTGATTTCCTCATCCACTGGAATCTGGTTTGTTCTCTCCCACAGTTCGTTGTTGCTGATGGTGTCTGACCAACGAATACGAAGTATTTTGCGTAGACAGCTGTTAATGAATACTTGTATCTTCTGGATGATAGCTTTCGTAGTTCTCCAAGTTTCCGCTCCATACAGTAGAACTGTCTTCACATTTGTATTGAAAATCCTGATTTTGGTTTTGGTTGAAAGTTATTTGGAGTTCCAGATATTTTTCAACTGTAGAAATGCAGCTCTTGCTTTGCCAATCCGCGCCCTCACATCTGCATCGGATCCACCTTGGTTGTCGATGATGCTGCCAAGATATGTAAAGGTGTTAACTTCCTCCAAGGCATCTCCATCAAGATTGATTTGGTTGGTGCATGTTGTTGTTGTTGCATCGGAGAATTTCGCTTTTTCCTTTATGTATGTTGAGACCTACTGCTGCTACACTGGTCGTCTTCTCTTGCATTTGTTTTTATTAGAAACCTGGAAGCACTGGAAGTCTTGTACTGTGTACTTGTATGAGAATCATCGGTAGTAATGTCCATTCACGACTGCTGCTACTCGCAGGGTTCCAACCCGAGGAGCTTCAGTTTTGCAAAATCAAAAAATGTGCTCACTAGTGACTAGATTCGTTGAAGAAATTCTTGGAATCTCAGTGCGAAAACATAACCAGTGGAGTTCAACCCTGTCGCTTGTAGGCAGTGTTACCTACCGAAAACGATAGGTGAGATTGTGCAAGATCCCTAGATCGATCAGGGCTAGACATTAACATCGTTGGGTGCCCCTGCTCAGTGGTCCACAGGTTAGGCGTTCGCTCAAAAGACCGAAGATTACTGCGAGTAGAAAGAGTAGTGGATGCACACTGCCACTGATGAGTAGTCCCATACCAGGATGAAACATCCGTCCAGTGCTTCCAGGTTTCTAATGGTGGTCTAATAGTGATTCATGCATGATTTCAATGCAAAATATTTATGTAGATATTAGAGCATATAGAAAGTTTTGATTCAATCATGTAGGTATTAGATAACTGTTGTAACGCTTGCTTAGATAATTCCCGGCTAATTCCTATTGCTTAGTATTCTCTGACCACAATACACTGGACAAGTTCCAAAGAATCAAAAACACGGTTGAACAGGAAAAGATTATATTCCAAATAGCAAGGTTAGATGGAAATAAGAACCCGAAGGCGAAAGCAAAATAGATATAACGTCAGTATTTACATGAGAAGCTTCTGGATAGTGATTCACGTGATCGAGTGGGTCAGATTTAGCCAATCAGCATGCAGCTAACAACAGGAGAATTTTCTATCCTGCTCTCCAAGACTCGACCAAGCGCTGATTGGATAGGAAATTAGCCAATCAGCGCGCAGCAACGTAGTCATGCTTTAATTCCATCTATGTCCCACTAACATTAACAAATATTTACTACATTGTATCAGAGATAATTTAAAATAGTCATAGAAAGTAAGTACAAATATATTTTTTTCTGCCTGCATTTAATTTATTGATTTTTGTCAATTTTTCTGTAAACGATAATTAAAACATGCCTAACATTATGATTTATACTTTCATGTTTTTCTCTCGTCAAAAAAACTAAATAACAACAACACAACTGCACTATTGGTGATAATGATGACGACGAAATCAGGTACCATTTGCACCATCTGGATTTAAAGTACGTTTCTTAAAAGTATTCGAACCGAAATTGAATTATTCCGATCATGATGTAGTGAAATGGGTTCGTTATATTGGTAAAAGTGGTCTATACGAGACACGATGTTAATGAAAACAAATAGAGACATAAATTTCATGTGTCAGTTAACACATGAACCCTAACCAACTGCTAATACCAGCACCTTTTTTTCTTGTCTTCTCAATCAATGATTGATTATCAATTGTGTCGTTTTATTGAAAATTGCGAGAAATCCAATCACATATAAACAAACACACACCCGCACACACACGCTCACACACACAAATACAAGCATAATAACCAATTATGCATATTGATCTATTCAAATTCAAGTGTTCATCTCATGTGGGGAGGATTTTTGACGGTCGATTAGCCTTTCTTCTTCGCCTTCTTCTTCTTCCCATTTACCTACTTACTACTACATTGTCATATTTGACATTCAATAGGCGCGGTGGCAGGTGTACGTACAATTGTGTGTATTGTATTGTAAACGGATTGATGCGAATCCGTTTGTGCATTTTGTTTTTTTCTTCAAATTCAACCCCGTGTTAATTGTTTTCTGCTCACAAATGCGTTCTTCTTCCGAAGGAGTTCTTCCTCATCACCCTTCCTTCACTCCACTACAAATCAATGCTTTGCATAAATCATTCTGATTTTGAAGCTCATTTATTTATTGCTTTGCTCATTCCATGTATTTATGACTTTTCTTCTAACTTTATATCACTATTGTTATTATTATTATTATTATTACTATCTACATCCTGCTGTTCCTACAATTTGAACAAATTAACTATAACTTTAACTTTATTGTGGTACACTTTATATTTCCCTCCCCCTCCGCCCCACACCGACCCGCTCTATTTCAATCATTGGCTACTTACTTATACAATCAAACAATTTCATTGAAAAATCTTCATTGATATTATTTGATTTACTGTTGTTGTTGATGTTGACGTTGTTGTCTTTTTTTATTGTTGTTGTCACGGGTTTTTTCTTATTCCATGTGATTCGCAAAGTCTGTTCTCCGCTCTTCTCTCTCACTCTCCTTATCTCTCTCTGTACTCTCTGTACTCGCTCCAGTCTGTCGAATCATATTTAGTATCTTTTTTTTTCGAATTATCTCATCATGTTACTGATTAACGAACAATAAGTAGATAGTTATTAGTAGTATCTTTATGATTATTATTATTATTATTTCATATTATATGCACTTATGATTTAATTTAATTTGTTTTTTAAAGTATTTTTAAGAAAAAAAAAGTATCTATCGACTTCGTTTTTTTTTTAAAAAAAAACTTTTTATTTTATTGGTTATAGTTTTTTTAAATGTCATTTGAGGTTTGTATCGCTTGAATGTGTATCATGTTGTGTTTGTGGTATGAGATAGAAAGTCGGCTAAAAGCTTCAACGCATAGATTTTCAACTAGTTGGTATTTGTTATAGTCATGTGTGTATTAACAATACGGAAATGCGAACTCGCCTTCGTTTATTGGCACTTTTAGATTGCAAGTTCGAGCCGTGCCCCATTTTGCTTCAGTTTGGTCGGATGGATGAAATGCCATGATCTCTGCTTCCTGAATAGGCACTCATAAACGAGTACGGGAAAATTTAATTATTAAGGGAAGTTAGAAATATCAGGATTGGCTTATTCATGCCCGGAATATTTCTAAGTAGGACCGGCTGATGTACGAGCACATGTTACGTAACTCATAGTGTTGATCTATCTATCGCTTGATTTGTCACATTTCAATTCAGTAACCGGAATTCGATTTTTTCGGAAAATACATGATTGTAATGTAACTACTACTTTCGTCTAATGTAAGGTATTTTTCATGTACTTTAAACCTCATTGTAGTTTTTGCATAAAAATGACCATATATACAACTGCTGACATGATTTCCTTGTGTTTTGATTGGGAGTTTGATAAGAGTCAGTCAGTCAGCCAACAACATAGAACTTAGTACGTACGCACATCAGTTGAAGTAGCACAAAGATGCAGTTGTCTATTCTGTCTACTTAGTCAACCTTTCATACACAGTTAAGAACGTGAAATATTTATGCATCGGTTTATAATTGCCATAACATGTTATCTCAACAAACTTTCGAATATTAACTATATCAGTAAAGTAATGCAAAAGATGAAACAGTATGATTTAAGGGTGAAGAATGGATTTACTTTCGGAAATTATCAGATTCATTTGCACTGTGGTGGCCGATTCTGTTGACGTCGGGCTCACCATTTGTGTACACTGGCGAGCGACTGAAGCGTATCGTATGAAGCGATGTGGAAAAGGCTAGGGAGCCAACTCCAAGGGGATAAAGCATGACTAAGAATATAGAGTCAGGCAAAAATAAGACGGACATGTGATCAACGAGATAGGCGCGTACACACATGAATAAAAGTGACGAATAGTTGACAAGGTCAAATGACAAGTGGGACACGTCATGTGAACTCATCATACAAACCAGACAATACTAAGAACGAATGGTACATATAAATTGTTGCAATACAAATGGCTTGGTTAAATAAATTAATCGAAAGGGCTTAACTAAGTTAGATGTAAGCGAACTGGAATATATGTGGAGGCACCATGATGATTGATGTTGAGCCGTTACTACTCAGCTTCTCTGACGAACTCATTACAGCAATTGCACAAACATTATTCAGACTGTCTGCAGCTACCAATGTGGTTTAGTTTGACTGTCTATTCTAAGTACATGATATACGTGAATGACTATATGCTGCAGCGTGTCTTGTTTAGAACAGTTGGTAATCGATTACGATTAGTACTTGCTAATATTAAACCATGGAAGTCAGCCTCAACGTGGAACTTGCTAGGTATATCAATCAGTTCAAGTCCCTATACCACATGTGCACAGAGAGGTGAAATTGTCAATGGAGAAGATTAGCTATCGTAGATATAGGATTCCAGAAGTATATCCCAGTAAGCTAAACTTAAAAATAGATTTTAACAAAGTCATAAACAATTTGAAAGATTAGAATTTGCGACAACACAAAAAGCGAATGCATTTGCGCCAATGTAAATGATTTCGAACCACGTCGTGATTGTCTCATGGAACCTAACCAGATAGTCTGCAGCTACTAACACCAATCAGACCAATTGTCACTGTCGTTGAAGTGACTATATACTCATAGCTATCATCTATATGTTTAGAATAACTTTATTACTGAATTCATGAATGTGTCATTGTTGGACTAACACTAGAAACATGTAAGCGCTGGACAGCCGTTTTGTCCTGGGATGCGAATCATCATCTACATAATGCTATATTGAAAGAAATCAAGAATGTGCTCACTAGTGACTAGCTTCGTGAGGAAATTCTAGTGAGAAGACGTGACCAGTGGAATTCAACCCTGTCATGTGTAGGCTGTAACTACCGGAGAAAAATGGGTGAGGTTGATATTGAGGATATCAATGAAACAGAGCTCATGTATTGTATCTTACATCTAGCTATTAGCTCTTATACGCAGTAATAATTTGCAATTAACGGCAATTTCTAGAAATCTGATCATGATATATACTAACTACCGGAATTCGATTAAAATTCAATCCATTATAGGAAAGTACAAACATGTTAAAATAATGATTGTCAACTAGGTTGTGAACAGATATAATGAATAGTTTGATATTACTAACAAATATTATTCCCTACACTTCTTGTCTAGTTTGCTTATTTTTCTCTAACCCCAAAATTTTTTGTTGTCTTCAGATATACACCTTACTATTCAGTCATCTGAACAGTTCTTATTATGTAGTCTATAATTCTAAAGAACTCTGCCGGGAGCCCTTCTGGGGCTACTGATAAAGGAGGAGGTTAGTGCGTGGGGTTAACCACTCCATTCCGTAGGAAACTAAATTCCTAAAAACTCGCTAACTATGTAAAATAATTCAAACAAATTAAACTGTGCCATGGGCGTTGGAAGGTCTTCATTTAGAAGAGTTATGACGCCTTTTGATGATAGCTGAGTTCCTTCAGAATTCACAAGGCCAACGCCTCTTCTGACAACCAGAGCAACCATTAATTTGTGTACATGGAATATTCGTACAATGTGGGAGACTGGGGAGTCATAAGAAATTTCTTCCCTTAGAATACTCAATGCCGAAGGAAAAGAGGAAGGCCGAAGGACACAATACGCCTAGTGTTAGAGACAACCATGAGAAGAATGAACAACAGTTGAACAGAACTAGGAAGGATAGACAGTAGGTTGGAGTATGCTGGTCAACGGCCTATGCTCCATTGGGAGTAACAGGCTAAAGTAAGTAGGTAAAGTAATAATTCTAGAGAATGTTATTCCAGCGTCTAGTTTTCTAAGATATCTGACTTCTTATCTATTACGCAACATTCATTTGAACCTTTCTTATTCATATTATAATCAGTACACCTGTTATCTTGATTAGTTATAATAATTTCATCATATCGCTTACTTATTTACGCCTGTTACTCCCAGTGAAGCTAGGCTGCCGACCAGCATTCTTCAACCAACTCTGTCCTGTGCCTTCCTTTCCAATTGTAGTGAACGAGAACACAGTTGGGGCACCGGATTGTATTAAACGAAAATTACAGAGTTACTCAGTAAAATTGGAAAACCATATCGTAAATCGTTAATTTGCAAAACATCAGTTCATCATATCGAACTGGACTGTTCCTGTTGCAAAACATCAATCCATTGTCACTACTCATGCGTTTCATACAAATTCTATTGTGTTCTAATTCTTCCTTTCTTGATCTTCCCCCATCTTCTGCTGCCAGACATTACGTTGACACTCACGTCATATACTACTTCTAAGTAGCTCACACCACACAATTATCCTTTAACCGGTGTTTATTTTTCCCATGTTTGTCGCCGATACTGGGCGTAATGTATTCTTTTAGTCTTCCTCGCCTCCTTTAGCCTTGCGGACTGAATCTTAGGGTTTACATCCCTTCGAGAAGTAACTATGAGCATAAACCCCGAAAAGGCATGTGGTTAGCGACGCCTTCTCGTAGTTAACTAACCTGTCGGAAACAAATGCTAACCAGAACAAATAATTCCGTTTCATTATATACTTAAACAAAATATTATTGGTATATTAAAGAGTAAAACCTGACAATATTGTTCAATTTTCAATATATTGTCCTAATTTTAAATATGAAGTAATAAAAATTCGAAAACATAACTTCTTCATTCACTAGTTTTTATATAGTCATATTATACACAAACAGTATAAAATTTGTCAACAATTATTTGCCGAGATCATTAGGTTCATGGTGTGACGCCTTGTTCAATGTTCACTGTTCATTGTTCAATATGTATTTGATCGCATCCCTAAAAAAATTCACTAGTAAATGTAAAATTACCTATTTGTGATAAAGTATAATTCATATAATATTGTGTTAAAAATGATGGATGTATTTGATGATATTCAAATTCATATAACATTTTGTTCAATATCCAATATTCCAATTGATCATATGCTTCAGGTTCAATGTTGGGTAAAAATTTATTAGCAAAAAAATGTGGATGTTTCATTAAGAAAGGTAAATCATGACTGCCAAGTATACATATACCATTACGATAAATATTTGTTGAACAAAATTCAATATAATGCCACCATAATTTTACACGAGTTAAAACAAAATATTTATTATAGGATTGAAATGGTTTTTGATAAATATTACCAGGAATATGAAATGTTTGTGGATTATTATTTAAAGTACTAAAATATTGTTCATCTGGTATAATACATTGACGCATAATTTTTTCATGTTGTTTTAATGAATTCAATAAGATTAATGCACTTTCATTGTATAACATATAGTGGACAAATTCTCGTCTTAATGCAACATGAACTGGTCCTTCATACCATGTAATCTGTAAAAAAATAGAGTAAAAAATTGGAATTGAAGAGTTTTATTCCGCAAAATAAGCTTACATGCTCGGAATGTTATTGATATATTGATAGCGATCTTTAGTTTCATTTGGAGTTTGGGGGGTTCCGATCGATTGTATCAGCGCAAGGCAGTTGGAAGCCAGATGGTTAGTGCACTGCCGGTTGGTTCGGTAATCCGTTCGGGGAGCCAGGTCTAGCTGGAGAAGCCCGCCTTGCCTCCCTTGCCGATTGGGGATGTAGGGTTCGTCACTAAGTATACTTGAGGCTATTACGAGTTTACCTTAGTCGATAAACGCGAACGAGACAATTACCAGCGTCCACGTAGGCTACCTTGAATCCCCAAAGCGAGTAAAAAGACTTTATAAGCGTAGAAAGTATATTCTACAAACACCCAGCAATCACAATACAATCAAGCACACAACTCTCGTTTATTTATACATCATAGAAACGTCCTTGTGACAGTTATGAAAATAGCACACTAAAATATACAGCAACAAATCGCAGCCAAGGATTTCCCTGGTGGGAATCGAAATCTCAAGGTCAACTGATCAGCCCATGCTGGCAAACGTGAAAACCAAAATAAGGCATTTAACAAGCGAGTTTTGGGGATCTAACATCCCCAACAGGATTGTGCGTAGTGGATTGGTTGGAGAGATCTTGTTGATTCATAAGTGCCCAAATGGGGGCCACTGCTCGTGTGCGTGCTTATTGTCTGAAGACCAATCTAGACAACATGTGCGTTCCCGTATGGGGTAGGGGTGATTGCAAAATTGGCTTTTGTGAGAATCCTTGTGTTGCTTAAAATTCAGCGGCGTACATGTGCAGTAGGCTTGTTGGTTAACCAAGAATATAAGAATGTCATAACGCTATCCTTTTTACTTACTTACTCCTGTTACCCCCAATGCAGCATAGGCCGCCCACGATATCTTTCAAGGATAGTCGTATTCAGAGCTCGAAATCTGATTTCACTTTGAACGAACAATGGAATATGTTATGGAATAAATCTTCTATCTGATTCCCATATATTATTCCTAGGTAAATCCTGTCAGTGTGAGGGTGGTAATAAAAATACGGATTCATTTGGTTGAGTTTATTTTATGTAATAACGCGAATGAGGTATAACTAAGTATTTTTGGTCAGACAAGATTAAGCTAGACAAGTGATAAGCAAAGTAAGCAATGCACGTACAAACTCAAGTAAACACAACCAATGATATGAGCGAACAAGTGACAAGGTCAAAAGACGTGTGAAATAATTAGCTTGTTCCAAGGTCTGTGACAAGCTATTTGCGTCTACACTACACTATAAATTTGTCGATAATCATTTACTAGATTGGTTCAAATGAACCTGTTTAAAAATACATGTCCGGTATTTAGTTTCACTCTCTTTATTTCTAGACTGGTTAGTATGATCAGACGCTAAGTAAATAACATTGTTACTTGAAAATTCAACATATCATCCCTTACTGTTTAGGTCGGAAATATTTTATTTCAAATGTATTAAACTACTATTAACTTTTTAAGTAGGTGGTTTTAAACAAAAGCAATTGTTCACATAATCCAGTTGGAGCATTTTAGTCACATGAGAGTTTTATTTTCCAACTCTTAGATTATTGATTACAAAATAATTGCACAAGATATTTACAAGACAATAAAAATCTTGTCATACTAATAATATAGAATTCAGTTGAAAATTTTAAATTTTGAAATAATGGGTGAATTAATTGTTTCTGTAAATATCGTTGAATATTTCGTTTTTGTGATGTTGTGCTGCGGATTTAGTGTGCGATTTTAAGAAATTACCGACCCTAAATAAGAATAAACTTAAATATTGAGTTGATCCACTGATTAGCCAATACTGAAGCATACTTTATAATAAACAATCAATTCGGAATATGAGTAATAGGGAGGAAATTTAAATCTTTTTAACTGCTTAGTAAGTAAGTGTTATTTGATAATAGTAATACTGTAGTGAAGGAGAACACCGGTGAGGGCAACCGAATTGTATATATCGAAAATTACAGAGTTACTCAGTGAAATCGGAAAACCATATCGTAAATCGTTCATTTGCAAAATATCAGTTCATCATATCGAACTGGACTGTTCCTGTTGCAAAACATCAATCCATTGTCACTATTCATGCGTTTCATACAAATTCCATTGTTTTCTAACTCTTCCTTTCTCTCGATCTTCCCCCATCTTCTGCTGCCAGACATTACGTTGACACTCATGTCATATACTACTTATAAGTAGCTCGCACCACAATATCCGGTCAAGTGTTGCCTTCTTAAGCATTGTATGTGCCAGGGTCATTAGAAGGGATATGATTCCGCGCTAATTACCTTGACTCAGCATCCAAGGTCATACTGGTTCAAAATTCCCTAACCCTATGCTATCATCCATAAAGTCCAGAAGTCTGTAACCAACATTCAGACTACGAATCAGATATTTCAAGCACGCGAGCTTTATATATACGAGACCTCTATCAAGCAACGTTGTTGACTGTCACCATTTCTCTTTCTCCTGGTAATCCACTGCATTAAATCAACGTCAAAAATCTGACGAGGAGCACTGGATGCAGTTGAAAACTACGACTTAGCTGGACGGTCTGGATTTCACAGATTATCTGGCTCTTCTATCACACACACAACAACTGTAAGAGAAGACGACTTGTGTAGCAGTACCCTCAGCAGCAGTTGCTGAGCAAGATTCTCCGATACAATACAACATGCACCAACTAAATCACACTTGATAAGGGAGCTTCGGGGGATGTAGAAACCCCCCACATAACTAGGCACCATCAGTGATGAACAAGGTGGATTTGATACAGGTGTGAAGGCAGGGATCGGTAAAACAATGTCAGAATTCCTACAATTTAAGAACATCTGGAACTCAAAACAACCATCAACCAATACCAAAGTCAGAATTTTCAATACAAATTTCTGGACAGGTCTACTGTATGAGGTAGGGGAAACTTGGAGAACTGAGAAAGCCATCACTCGGAAGATACAAATGTTTATCAAAAGTTGTCTACGCAAAATACTGCAGATCCTTTGGTCAGACAACATCAGTAACAATCTACTGTGGGAGAGAACAGGTCGGATTGAAGCGGAGGAATAAATCAAGAAGAAGCTCTGGAGCCGGTTAGGACACATATTGAGGAGAGCACAGAACATGCCCTGACTTGGAATCCTGAAGGCCAAAGGCTCCGAGGAAGAGTAAAAAACACATTATACTGAGAAACGGAGATGGACATGATGCGAATGAACAACAGTCGGACAGAACTAGAAATGAAGGTCCAAGACAGATGATGTTAGAGAATGCTGGCTTATGTTCCATTAAGAGTAACAGTCATAAGTAATCAAGTTAGTAAGTAAGCCTTACATATAAGCATACTTGATCGCATCACTTATCGTTAACATTTTATACAAATATCTAATTAACAATTGTTTCAAGTTACTGAACAAAGAAATATAAACATAATTATAACAAATGAACTAAAAAGTCACAATTTACATTCAACGGAACAAGATGTTTCGGTGGAATACGCCATGGTTTAGTTTGTAACCAATGCGCTGGTGCTATATTTAAACCATTCAATAATTTCAAAGCTTTCACTAATTCCCAATTTGTTCTCAATGGAAATTCATGTCCAGTTAAATTAATAAAATATTTCCATTTATTGGCTTTTTTCTTTTTTCCACAACAGCTCAATAATAACAATTGAGCACATTTTAAATCTGCCTCTAATACTGAATAACGACCCCATTGAACATTGACACGTTCTGCATCAGCGATAAAATAAATATTTGTTTTATTGAATTGAAAAATCAATTGGCGAAATTTTTGATAGTCAATTTCCGACGACTTTTTATCAATATGTATACAATAGAAATTATGTGGACGATATATGATTTGAATTAGCCGATAAGCTCGATCATAATCACGATATATGATTAAACTAAATGCTAGCGGGAATTCTAATTCCTCTTTGGTTACAATGTATGTATAATTATTGAGCAAATATGCTTGATTATTGATTGAAAATGGTGAATTATAAGTTGTATGCAACGAATTATGTAATAAATAAATGGTCAGTAAGAGGATGACTAGAAAGGCAGTACGTAGAATCAATTTCAAGTGTGAAATTTTTCGTCGGTACACGCAACAAGTATTCATTTTCGCCTTGTATTTGTATCTTCAATGTGTAATATGCAGAATTTGTTGATTTTCTGTTATCGTTGCTGTTCAATGTTTCATTTATAAACAAATGAATGAAGAATTTGTTTTAAAGGATACCATTTTTCATCAAAATCTATCATAAAATGTAAAATAAGATGAATTATAGTGTGGACAGTCGATTTTCATTTGGACAGAACGACTGAAAAATAAAATATATTATTCTCTGGATTAGAAAATTTCTAGAAACTAATGTGGTGCGAGCTACTTATAAGTAGTATATGACGTGAGTGTCAACGTAATGTCTGGCAGCAGAAGATGGGGGGAAAGATCAAGAAAGGCAGAGTTAGAACACAATAGAATTTGTATGAAACGCATGAATAGTAGTGACAATGGATTGATGTTTTGCAACATAAACAGTCCAGTTCGATATGATGAACTGATATTTTGCAAATGAACGATTTACGATATGGTTTTACTATTTTACTGAGTAACTCTGTAATTTTCGTTAGATACAATCCGGTTGCCCCACCTGTATTCTCTTTCACTACACTAATATTTTTCAAATCAAAAATTAATCTAAAGCTATATCATGGTTAGAAATCTGGAAACAGTCAACGACCCGTTTCGTCCGACTATCTGATTCTTCATCAGTTCGTGATTTCAACTATGTAAATAATATGATTTAAAAACATCGCTTTCGTTAATAATAACCATGTACCACCTGGAAACTAGTTTCAAGATGTATTCTTGTAGTTCTAGTGAGAATACTTGACCAATGGGTCTAATGCAAATGACAGTAAACTTAGGTCAAAAGTTATAATCTCGTGGTGGCTGATGGCTCACCGTAGGTTCATGTGCTTTTTGTTCCAACGTGATAATAAAGTCCATATTCATCACTGATTTAGAGTGAAAGTTTTCCAACCGTCTTATGTTTATCCTTAGTACCTAGCAATCCAGTTAAAACCCTGGACAGACATTTGATTTTCGTCATCTAAGTTCGAAAGCATCACCGTCACTACGAGAAATTAGTGAATAGGACTTTCTTTGCAGTGCCTATAAATCAGTGATCATATGCGAAGATTTGTTGAGAGAGAGACAGAGAGAGCAGACTCTCCTTACTTTCGTCTGTAATACGGCACTTGGGGGCAAACTTGTGTTTAGAATCGTCATCTTGAAATACTGGATTTACAACTACTCCATAAAAACTACATAGTTTCATTTTCAAATAACCAGTAACTAGCACAAAATAATGTTAATAGTGAGTTTATAAACTCAGAATTTTTGTGTTTATGGCTTATCCTAACCTAATATCTGAATCCTTTGCAACTACTAAATGATCATTTCAATTTTGAACGACTTTTTCTAAGCTTTAGATGAACAATAACCAGTCAATGTTATTGAAACATTAGAAACCTGGAAGCACTGTTTCGTCCTTGTATAGGACTCATCATCATCACTCAGCATTCATGACTCTCGCAAATCACAGGATTCGAACCCAGTACTTTCGATCTCGTGTACCAATGTTCGACAATCTCCACATTTCTATGATAAAATAGGCTTACTACTTCATGAATTAAGAACTTTTGACTTAGAAATATAATAGAAAACGTTGCAAACAAATGAATTACATGTATTCAACTTCATCAGTAATATCAATCAACATCAAAATCAGAATTTTCAGTATAAATGTCAAGACAGTTCTACTATATGGAGTGGAAACTTAGAGAACAATGTAAGCCATCATCTATAAAATACAAGTATTGGTTAACAGTTGTCTACACAAAATACTTCAGATTCGTTGGCTAGATACCATCGGCGACAACTTACTGAGGAAGAGAACGAACCAGATTCCAATGGAGGAGGAAATCAGGAAGAAGTGGTGGAAGTGGATAGGTCACACACTATGAAAAGCAGCTAACTGCGTCACGAGACAAGCCCTCACATGGAACCGTCAAGGCAAAAGGTGAAGAGGAAGGCCAAGGAACACATTACGCCAAGAAATAGAGAAAGACGTGAGAAGAATGAACAAAAATTGGACAGGACTGGAAAAGGAAGCCCAGGACAGAGTTGGTTGGAGAAAACTGGCGGGCGGCCTGTACTCCATTGGGGTTGACAGGCGCAAGTAAGTAAGTACGAATGGGATTCAATGGACGTCTCAGATACAGCTAGGCGATGTGGACGTCTCAGATGATCTATCCCTTCTATCTCACTCAGAACAACGAATTTCAATGAAGACAGCCAGTGTAGCAGCAGCCTCTGAAGTAGTAGGTCTCAACATACACAAAGGGGAAAGCAACATCCTCAGCCGACATAACACAACATGTACCAATCAAATCACAATTGATGGAAAAGTTTTGAAAGATGTAAAATCCTTTACAAAAATTGGACAGCAGTGGAAAGGGAAGCCCAGAACAGAGTAGGCTAGAAAAACCTGGTCGGTGACCTATGCTCCATCACAGAGACAACAGGAGTAAGTAAAAAAAATAGCAACTAAGTAATTTCATCAATACCATAGAAGCAGTAAACTACCTACCTCTCCTCTTTCAATCAAACATTTATTTACTCCGCCTTCCTTTTTTTCCAATCATCAAACATAATCTTATCATCATCGGTATATAAACAAAATTTCACAAAAAGGGCAGTACAATAAATGTAAATGTTTATATTTTTAAAAACATCGCCACTCATTTCATACAGTTTAAAACAATACAATTAGTTATTGACTCATTCGAAAAATATTTTATTTTATTTTATTTATGAAATAAAATTCAAAGATAAAATCTGTTTTTTTTTTTGAATAAAAAAAATGATTTCTCTAATTATTAAAACTTTCATATTTTGTTGTTAGTGATAGTGATAAATTTAAACAAAATGTTGATTAAAATTGTACGTGTAGTAAGTAGTTCATCATGAATTCATTTTGAAAAACTAGATTCATTGTGTCCTAATGTTCGCTTAACTATATATAAGTGATATTGATAGTTTAAAATATAACAATAATAATCTGATATTTTTATAGATTTTAGGCGTCGGCGATGTTTATAGTATGTTAAATAAAGAATAATTGACATTTTAAAATAATCTGTATGATAAGGTTGTGGAGATTGTTAAGTCACTTTATTGAAATCACGAATCGATCAATGTGGAAACCACCATTAGAAACCTGGAAGCACTGAAATACGGCCGTTTCGTCCTGGTATGGGACTCATCAGTGGCAGTGCGCATCTACAACTCCTGAATCTCGCAGCATTCGAACCCAGGACTTTCGGTCTTGCGTGTGAACGCCTAACCACTGAACCGGTTTCTAACGGTGTTAATACGTAACTTTGATCACTTCACGGTCTTGCACAACTCCATACACTGTTACTGTCAACACCCGACGGGGTTGAACTCCACTGGTCGTCTTCTCACTAAAACTCGGGGACGATTCCTCATGGAGCTAGTCACTAGTGAGCATAGATAATTTCATTATGGGATTGTGGAGATTATTGAGTTACTTGTTGCTAATGAGTTCCGTACCAGGACGAAACGGCTATCCGGTGGTTTCAGGTTTCTAATAGTGGTCTAACCTTGATCAATTCATGATTTCAATAAGTAATTCACTAATCTCCACAACCCCATAATGTTATAGTCGTTATTGAAATGTCCGAATATCAAGTCAATTCTGATAAAACTGGCCTATTCACAATAGATATTTCAAAAATAATTCACTCAATCAAACGAATAATTTTTAGGGTAATTGAAATCAGTAGTTTGTACTGCGTAGTTGCAGTAACAAGTCAACACTTCAAGCCTTAACATTAAATACAAAAGTAAAGGGTGAAAGTTCTCAGTTTACAGAAACTCTAACTTAGTTTTTCAAATGAAATTAAATTAATTATTAATATTTTCATCGTTGAAATAATCAACTGATCACTTTTTAAAACCTCGAAGTATGAAAAGCATCAGCAGCACGTATCTACGACTCGCGCACACAGGAATCGAACCCAGTACGTACAATCCTGCAAGCTAATGCTCAACCTCTTCATCATTGTGTCAGCACCCAATGGTTTGTGGTGGTGTTTCTATCTAAAGTTTGTGCAGATGATATTGTTCAGAAGTTAAACAATGAAAGCTCCACAACCAAAACATTCAGTTCAGAGAACGAAACACTACCACAATCATCCGCCTGAGCTACCAATTTTCTCCATCACCCAATGGTTTCAATGTTTGTTGGGGATATTAGATCCCCAAAACTCGCTTGATAAATGCCTTATTTTGGATTTCACGTTTGCCAGCATGGGCTGATCAGTTGACCCTGGGATTTCAATTCCCACCAGGAAAATCCATTGCTGTGATTGGCTGCTGTGTATTTTAGTGGGCTATTTTCATAACTGTCCCAAGGACTTTTCTATGATGTATAAATAAACGAGAGTTGTGTGCTTGATTGTATTGTGATTGCTGGGTGTTTGTGGAATGTACTTTCTACGCTTCCCACGACTTATGTTTTCCCGTTGGATTCAAGGTAGCCTACCTGGACGCTGGTAATTTTCTCGTTCGCGTTTATCGACTAAGGTAAACTCGTAATAGCCTCAAGCATACTTAGTGACGAACCCTACAATGTTCGAATTGAATCAACCCATGGTATTGAGTGAACGTCATCCATTCATTGCCTGTGACGGATAACTGTTCTCTGCCTAACATCGACTCAACACCACTGGTCACTTATTCTCACCAGAACATCAAGAATACATCTTGAAGCTAGTGACTAGTGAGCGTACAAATGTTAATTAATTCAAGGGATTTGTGGAAATTGTGTGAATACTTATTTGACACAACAACAACATTTACAGAATAAAATGTTCACTGCCTCGTTTTTTCTTCTTGATTTGCATGTTGATCCAAACGAAACGTCATTGATTTCGATATGTGGTAAAATACTGTTATAATAATAATAATAATAATGATAATAATAATAATAATAATAGTACTTATGTAAATTTACGTCGTTTGTAACT